TTCTATAGTTATGAAATTAATTGCTCTATAATTATTCGACGAATAGCAGATTTTATGCATTCAGAGTAGTTAAACTACTACGAGTTTTCGCTTGATATTCAAATCGACGCTTATAAACATCTATCGTCCAACAGTAAACAATTTTAGTTGGTACTGCATAGAGTCATAAGCTTTAAGTTTACAGTGCCCTTTGAATTTTCTAGAATAAAACTAATAGTTTCGCCGTAAACGCGTATGACATCACATGTAACTATGCAACGAATGCGTTCTCACAATTGGTCGTGGTTAAACAGTGTAATACGGTTTCAGCGTACTACAATGAACAGCAAAAATCTAGTCGTGAAAGTACCCCGGGTTTTACTTGTTGCTTACGTAAGACGAGTGGGTGTACAACGCTTTAAAAGCGTGCAATAACGCGCGATTGCGATTGAGATTGTTTAAGCGTTAACATAAATAAAAAAATTGATAATAGAGTCAGATTAACACGTTGAATGCCATGTGACTCCCAGCCAAATCGAATTGCTATAGTTCATTTAATTAAACGATGATTATTTGAAAACATTTCTATATTATAAATAACGCTACCTAATGCGATGACATTCAGCTAGATGAATGTGCAATAATAATAATGCAATTCAATCAAATGATTTAATATTACATTTTTTCCATTTTGTGCATTTTGCTTTATGAAATTGTGCGGCATTCAGCGTGTTAATAACTGTATAAATCATCATGGAGTTAAAACAGTTTCATACAATCACAGCAATTTTTCTAAGAAAACAAAAACTGAAGAATCAACATTTTTCACAGTGATTGCTTTCTCAACCTTTTCGTATGCCATAAGTCTAATAAAATTTAATTCATTTCATATGTCATCGGGAAAATTCATTTTTAAACCTATACAAAAAGTTGTCACCTATATATGGGTAACGTGACGGTCAACCTGCTTGTTTGAGCAAATTCGAGAGAAGGAAGAAGCTTTAAAAATGTTAACGCAGTTCGTGTAACGCAGAACTTAGTGCAATATCAGCAGTTTTTACAGACTTCTTTTTTGCCTTTCAATAAGATAAGTCTGAGAAACTTGATCTGGGTACACGAATCATTACCTGATGGGTTGTAGATGTCTGCAGTAATTAAATAACAAATAACTCGTAGACAAAAAAAGATTGAGAAGAGAAGTAACCGATAAATTAAGTGTTTACTAGAGGTCAGGGAGTTATAACGATTTCTTTGTAAATGACATGTACATACAATTTTCTGTGTAAGAGGTTTATTTAGCCGCAAATTAAATATGTTAATCTTGCAAATTAGAAATCTTATTATTTCTTTGTAATGAAGTTTCCATTCCATGTTACTTCGAGATGCAGTAAAATTTTTATTAACGGGACTTCAATTATCCGCAGTTTTGATTATACAGGTCACGGTTGCTTGGTGTAACAAGGTTGCATACGAAGTACGATATCTAAAATACGGTTTAAAATAACATTACTTCCAACGATAAAAATATATGTCTCATACGAGTGTTCTTCCGTCTAAAGACAGACGTAAACAGTTCATTGTAAAATAAATTTCAATTATTTATTTACCTTATACCTTTATACCTTGTGACTGTAACATTTCCACTTTTCTAAATTATTCCACAACAGTATTCGTATAATTTCTATGTACATTCATAGTTTGATAATTAGTTTAATGGTATTATAACTCAAATTACGATAGCTTAAGGTTTACCAAGTTTTACAAGATTCGATTAGAAAATTCTTAACCTCCTTGATCTTGCTGCAGCTTCGAGTTGCGCCTGACGTAGTGATTGCGCTAGGAGAGAAGATAAGTTTGAAGGAGTTATAGGTTCCTGTCGGGCTTCACCGACTTTTACCGCCTGCATCTGCTCGATGTATACTTGGAATAGTAAAGAACATTGGATGCATCGTGTATTTATATTGAGCGATATAATAACGGTCAGAAAATTTATGTATGCTGATACTCTTGGAATGTTTGTTAATCACACTTTTTCGCAAATGAATGCGTTATACGATTGCATAAAGAGTCGATTTCTACAATGTGATGCTTGAAAAGGGCATTAATAAATAATCGACTGATCAGTTGAAATTCTGCAGATATCTTTCTAGTAATTTTACGTGCTACGTATGAAAGAAAGTTGTTTAACATAATCACTGAAAAATATTTATACACTCAATGATAATAACTTAATATTTACATTTGCGTGGAATAAAATGGGAAATTTCATTCTTTTAAATATACATTGCGAAACATATAAGTATTGTAAAAACAAAAAATTTACTCGTATATTTACTCGTATATTGGGTTTTTCTAACGATTAATAAATTGTAGATATTATTTAACAAAGAATAATTCGAAATTTAAGTATATCATTAATATTTCATAATGACTGATGGTTAACTAATTACAATTAAACTTACAAGTTATTCTACTTATTTAAACATCATTTATAATTCTTCTATTCTTTCATGCACTATTTTCTCGTTTATATACGGTTTCTCTAAAATTCTTCTCTACTTTGTCGTAATGATTTAACATGATATAATAAAATCGAATTATGCTCATTACCATTGTTACATTTTGTATACAGGAATTGATCGATTGATTCCTTATATAAAATGCATATTAAAATGCGTATACAAATTGCGGCAATCAATTCTTGGGAAAAAATCACTCAAGCGTTCAATGTAGCTATCGCGAAGTAAAGTAAAAATCGTATGTACTTTTAATTGTCAGTATCGTGTGCTGCTGTGTGGTCGCGTGTATCGCAGAGATTAATCAACTCCTACAAGCTGTGAGCTTCAGACCGCGGTAAACGTAATCATTGTCACGGTATGATGGCTCAATCGTGTCTGCAATAACATAGTAACTACGATTGGAAATGTTCTTCGGATTACGGTTTATGAGGTTACGGTTCTTATCCCACTTGGAACGAAATGTACAGTCCGCAAAATCATGGTACAATCTAAAATGATATGATACCCACTTAATGTAATTTCAACATCCGTAATTCAAATCGAGATTTCTCTTAAATTGCTTCAATTGCTGGTAGTTCGAATTTAAATATTTGTTCGGTGCTCGTGCTATTGAGTGCGATCTCGCCAACATGTCTGACCATTACTCACTGTTTCTACTTCTTGTAAATCGTGTTGACGATACGGTACTATTCGGTCCTTTTATATTTAATATATTTCATATGTGTTATATATTTCATGTATTTCGAATACATCGAATATTTTTTATATTTTTTATGTTGTTTATTTATATCTAGTTCCATGTAAAATTGTTATTTAATTCAAACGCAGTTTCGCTTCAATTCTCTGTTAATATAAATACGTAAGTGAAAAATGAGTTTTTAAGAATATCGTCTCAGTTTGTCAATTTTTATAAATTTATTTTAAAAAGGTACAATGCGAAGACTGATTCATCTAACTTGACCGCCTTGAATTAGTCACTAATTGTACAGGTTGTAAATTGTTTGAGAAAGAAGTCCTATGATTTACAAAGAGATATACCATGTACAATTCGAAATAGTATACAATGTTGATTAAGTGAGTATTGTATATGGATGTAAAAAACAATATCAGAAAAGTCTGAATTGGATTGAGGAAAGACGCGTTCCCGATTAATGTCAAAGAAGCGAACGGTTTCCTCGAGGTATTGAATAGCATTGAATTGTTGTTACATAAAGTGATCATTAAAAACTGTGACCTTCATTTGTAGCAAATGCAATACACGTTAAGTATTGAGCATCCATGTGTAATACACATCCAATTACTAGCTAGTAAATAACTTTGCAACAGTGTGGTGTTTAGATATTCACTATCGGTTTTCCGGTCAAGCTGCGCCAGTATGGACTGTGTTCACAAGTGGAGAATGTCAAACTAACATTAATCTATAATTATTTGAGAACGAAAATTATAATGAAAATATAAACCTTCGCTAAAATGTTTACGTTCACGCAACTAAATCATATATAAACGTATATTACAAAATTAAAATATTTGTAAACATATAGAACGTACAATGAAAATACAAAGTAATAAAACGAGCGTTCAAGTTAAATTAAACTTTATATAGTTTGACTTCTGTTCCTAATTTTCCATTTAAAATAAGACATGTAGATTTGTATTTATTTGATAACAAACTTCATTTGGGAACCTAAGTATTGTTACCTTGGAACCTTGTCACGTTCAATTGAGCATATGCAATAATCTTTGCTAAAAATTGATGCTCACTATTCAGATTTTGTGTACATTATGATCATAATTCAGTAAACCGCCCTTTCCAAATATCTTGAAAAAATCCTTATTTTGTCAACATTCGCTTATATGCGTGTATTACATATTATAACAGAAACGATTTGCTCAAAATATAATGTTAAAACTTATATCATCGAAGTTAAAAAAATCAATAAACAATACGTCCTTAAACCAACTAAAAGTTATAAAGGATAGAATTGAGTAAATTACCTTTTCCGCTACTTAGAAGTTGGTTTTGTTATATACAAATTCTTATAACACAGATACATATAATATAACTCATACATTTTATCACGCAGAGTAGACAATCTGATCTCAAAGGATTTTATTGAACTTTTAAACGGTTACATATACTTTTAGCTATTTATATTACGGAAACTAAGTTCTGACTCCGCTTCAAATTCAAAAGTATAAAGGCAAGAATAATATAATAATATACAATAGATTAACAAAGAAATTATGAACTATTTGCTTTTCGATAATTACGTTGTTATGTTATGACTCATATGTTGTACCACAATTTAGCGGTGGTTCTATCACGATTCCTTAGCTCCTTTCCTGCTTTCATCAGTTGTCAGCGGTCCTTTCTTCGGATAATCGCAGCTCGCAGCGCCGCGCTATATCTATCGATCGTCTCCATTAACTAGTACGTTACACAACGAACTAGAACTATTGCCAAACAATAGATTATGCCGCGTCTGTGCGCCGTCGCTCGGCGTGTAGGCCGGGTAGGGATCTGCCTTATGCAAGCGTTACATACATTTGGTTATATTACCGCTATTACGTAAAGCGGATTACAAGGCGAAGGGAGAAAAGTGTTACAAATTGTCGATATTCAGGGTACTTGTCGATACAGTTCATCTGGGTTACGTGAAGAAAATAAACGAAACTGATCATGGTACAGCCGACTGTTGCACAATTCGCGGGGTAAAAGTTGACCTCACGCTCGAATATCCGATTTTTTTTCAGTTACCCGCGACTTTAGGGGAATGGTTTTATTAAAGTAAGGAAACCAACGCATACCTTTATCGCGTGAGTTTTAAAATTGATTTGTTAATATAAATGCAATTATTTGAAAATAAGTGAATTACCTATTGTAGGTATGTACCTATTATGCAATAGATAATTCAAATAGATTTGAAGCGTCGGTTATTTAGTAAACGAATGTATCTTAAACTACTATGTTTGTACAGGTTATAATTTGATTTAAAATAAAAACAACGTAACAACTGATTTGCCATTAAATGTGATGTGTGCAGATATTAGCATAATATGGAGATCTAATGAACATAAACCTACGAATCTGCCAATAATTTTACAATCAGTAATACTGTTTAGGAAAATCAAATTAATCTTTATATATTTACAGGAATCAGTAATACTGTTTAGGAAAGTCAAATTAATCTTTATATATTTACAGGAATGGAATTCTAAATTTTTATTGCCAGTGTTGATCAAGCATGTCCATTAGAAGAAACCCTGACGAGCCATGCTCCTCTTTCACAAGCTGCAATTGGAGCTTGTCGCGTTTTATGGGAAGTTTTCATATTTTAGATAAGACAGTAATCATAAAAGTGTGTTAAGGCGAACAGTGACTCATGAAAAATGTAGTAAAATGATAATAATGCATATTATAATTGTTCATTACGTTACATTTGTATTTGTTCAAAATACCTATAAAATATAAAAATAAATGAGAAAGTCAGTTCTAGAGTAACATACATTCAAACGTAAAATGTAAAACGATTGAAAAATCAGAATTTTGTTATAGGTAAAATTTAAAAATACTATAGCAATTACGCCATTCGTATCTATTAATTTCTGAGAACTACAACAAGATAAATGGGAAACGCTTGAATGAAGCAGTTTGGTTATAACTGGTGAAAACGTATTTACTGTGGACACAGTTTGTCTTTGCGAGCAAGTTATTCATAATTTTTCGCGTATCGTTTTCACTCAATGGTTTTGACCAAAATGATTTGACATGGTGAAGGATAGATAAAGAAGCTTCAGTTTAGTTTAATATGAGGTAATAGGTTCCCTTTTGATCATCAAATTTAAACTAAATTAAGATTTCTATAATATAGCACTGAAAATTACAGAACATGACTCGAGAAGGATTAATGAACAATACAAGAAATAAAATAAAGAACAAATTCATCATCTCCATATGTTATGGAGTATTTGTTATAAAATAAAATTTCTAGTAAATAACTTGTAGTAATATTTTATGAAGAAATTCATATGGAACACAAATTTTTATAGATTATTTGAACCTATATGTATGTCCAATCTACGATTACGAATTGTTAATTATGGTAATTAATATTTGTATGTTATTAAACAGCACAAATATCCCATGATTAATACTATAATCTAATCTTTATAATTACTAATCATCAACTTCTTAGGTGAAATGTTGTTACATTTAAAAAAAAAGGATTGATACTCGATATACTGTAATATTTTATTTCCTTGTGTCATTTAATAAATAATTCATTTAGAGCAATAATTAACATACACTGTGATATTATAAATCTTAATAAATCTAACTCTTGAACATCGAATAAGAGTAAAACACGTGACCCACTGTAAGTTTAACGTTATGTAAATTTGAAATAAGATACAGTTCCCGTGTTTCTAGTCCACTTCCGGTCGATGTATCTGAGATTGGGAGTTTCGTCATGTGGCGGGAAGCCCGTTGGCTCATGTATATCCCCGTTTTGTTTGGTTTTCGTTCAAAGACAAACATTATAGATAAGACGAACGGAATCGATGACTTTGAAACGTTCATGGCACATTACGAAACGGGTCTACTTACCTTGTAGTGTCGTGTTATATAGGAGAGGGTCAGTACAGCCGTTCGCACGCGTAAGAGCTTGGTTACATGAGCGTGTAAATATTTCGCTTACGACGAATGGTTTATACGTTGCGTTATGCGCACCTCTCTCGGTGCCTTAAACCTCGAATTACGTAAGTGCCGTCGTTTGATGTTTATGTAACGTCGACCACGTTACCGACGAATTCAGACGTCGTTAGCATCAGACGCGAAAGACCATCAGAACTAGAGGGGATCCGCTCCATTGCTCGGTTCAACGAGTTTCTCACTATTTAGAAACGAACGTACGCTCAGCTTACTTAATCTTGCAACCTCCTTGGGCATATATTTGGGTATATGCAAGGGAAGGGAACGGTTCTCCTACCCAAACGTAAGTATTTCGGTTCAGGGGACTATCAATGCGCAAGGAAGGTGCGCAAAACACCGTTACCGAACCAACGCGCCGTTGAAAGCAAATGGCGGGTATATACGGTTATGTTAACCTAACGGCGAACGGAAATCAATGTGGTATCACTTTATCATATGTATTGATTTCAAAACACTGAATACATTGAAATATTTATCCCTCCTAAAAAGGTGGTTTAAAGCAATGTAATCGAAGTACCCTTTAAACTAATGAATATAAATAAATCTAATTTATTATACATATATAATAAAACAGATTCTTTATATACAGTTTTTTATGGCTTCGTTTTTTCCTATTTATAATCTGTATAAAATTTGACTTATATATATAGTTATGAAGTAAAAATGATTTAGTTTGCAAACAAATGTTTGTTAATCTTCTTAACGAATCGAAATGTAATTGAACAATCGTATTAGAAGTTCATGAATGAAAACTGGTTCATAACATTAATGCTCAAATGTAAATTTTTATAAAAATCGTGCATTTAAATTGCATTATTGTAATAATTTGAACTGAAATATAGACGTAATTATTTAATTAAGTCAATAAATGATTTAGTGTTTATTTTCTACAAAAAGCTTCGTTAAGAATAGTGTTAAATATAATTATTGACAAAATTTGTTTTTAATAAAAAAAGTTATGTGTTGATCACATGTGTAGGTAGTAAAATTTTAAGAAATCCTGCTAGTTGCTTTAATCTGCCAACATTTTCGTTTGTGGTTTGTATCGTCAGGCTACAAATTTTTTAACTTTTACAGATTAAAAAGTTCAAGGAAACATCTAGTTTCGATATCTTAAGAGAGTCTGCTGTATTAACACGGAATTGATACTATCGACAGGAGACAAAATAGACTGAACGTTTTATCACTGACAAGAGACAAAACAGACTGGACATCTTATGAAACTTCATGTCCGACGGTCTGAACACCTTCATATTGAAGGAAAAAAAATAAAAAAGGACATGTTTTTAATTATTTAATTTTATTTATTTGTACTCTGTTGATAAGGTTGTAAATGATTACGTAACTTCCCGACTTATGATAAGAAATTTATTTCTTGTTGGTGCAAACACTTCTATCCAGACCTAAGATACTGTTACGTCTACGGACGTATTGCGTAGTCAGTAAGTTAATTTTTCAAATATTATTGCGTAATTGATAAGTTAGTTTCCTAAGCGTTAGGACTGCGACGTATTCCCTAGTTGATAAGTTAGGGGCACTACGCACGGTATCCTCAACGAAGCCGACGTACAGTCCAGAAACTAAAAGGTACCTAAAATTACGACTTGCTTGCTAACATTAACCCCTTGGCGTACTATTTACTTTCGCCATTAAGCTCGTGTAACATTTTACTATCGACAATTTGGAAGAAATGCAACAAAATTGTTTATTCTACCTTCAGCAGAAATTTAATTCGAAGATTTGATAGTAGCAAAATAGTTGTTTGCTTTGATTCGTGGGCAATGGACAACATTGATTGTTGTTAAATTAATCTAGAAATCTTCATCGCAAGTCTCACTCGTCATTGTACAGCAAGGGGTTAAACTTGTACGATTTTTGAAGGCTCGGATCTAATGAAAGCTCTGAGAGTCCCTGCGATTAATAATTCCACTCAGATCGTTTTCTTTTGTCTAAATGTAAATCAGTATTTAAAATTAATAATTGTATTCAAATAAAAAATTTGCTTTGCCTAAATATAGTTCAGTACATTCTTAAAATTGTAATTCCCAAATCATTCTATAATAACTCCTCATCGTACACGAATCTGCTTTACCTCCTTGTACTTGCCGTGCAGGCCTAACCAGGAGGGCCTCCATGGGCGTGGGATTGACACTAACACGTTCGCTACCAGCGTCACATATTTGTGACGCCCGTAATCCTATATTTTACATAATGAAAATGAAATTAATCCTATAGATCAGTGACTCGTTTCAGTTTCATTTTTTTAATATTTTGTTTAGAAGATATATTGGATTGAATAAAATATTATAATTGAGGAGATTGTCACCAAAATAAGCGCTGGTAGCGAACGTATTAAGCTCAATCAGCTGAGGCCGAAGCTTTACCAGCGTGGCCTCCCGATGATGAGGAATCCCATGGAAGTATGTAGACTGTTGATAGCGCCGAGCTCACGTTCCAAAACTCTATGAACTATCCTGTTTGGTCCATGAGCAGGTGGAACGCTACTCACGCACCGAGACGCTGGGAAGATCTCTAGCCCAGCATGCGAACTTTCAACTACAGCCACTACGAAGCCAATACCAAATGTCCGGGCCGACACCGGCCGATGGGTACCCGGAACCTGTTTTAGTGAGACCTGTTTGATTTCTTACATACATGAATAAGAAATATTTCCCATATCTGTGAAGGTATTTCGACCATACCAAGACTTGGTTCGGCCAACTCGGGCCAGCCTAACCAAATGTTCATCCGGCTCAAAGGACCAAATATTGAGGTGTGAGCAAAAAAGTTTATTTATAATTTGAAAGGAACTTTCTTGGTATGCTCCACTCCACTCGCTGACTTAATGGCCAATGGATATTGAAATTGTTGAAGGTGGATGCTGCAATAATTGCTATTCGATAAACTAATACTTTAATTTATTATAAAAATATGAACAGTAATTGTGCGTTTGGTGTGTAGTGTATGTATAAGAACCGACGTTCTTTTGAATGTATCTTGACTGCCCCACTGAATCGGGAGAAGTACCACAATCGCCATGTAGCCGCTGGAAGGAACGAACAACCACAGCAATCTCATAGTCCTTACGCCTGGAGGACCGAGACTGACCAACAATCCATCAAGCCTGTTGCCGCCACAAGGTAAATAGCGCCCGCAACACGCAGCACCGCTTACACGAGGAACCAGATACACACGTAGGTAAGTGAGACGTTTTCGATATCTACACATAAACGATTCGGAAAATCCCGGATTAGATGTCGGACGTACGCGCCGCATAAACCAAAAGCTTGTAAATATTGTCTTGACACGAGCGGTAAAATAGTTCTAGCATTTTCTCTTCTTCACGAGACACCAGGACGTAATAATATTGTGGTAACATTAGTCGGTGGAATACTATCTGTCACTAAAACAGGTCTGTAGTTTTGGATACTATTGTACCGACGCAACGTAAAACCTTAGAAAGCAGTATTGATCGTAACGGACGCATGCGTGCGATATAATTGGATCACATGTGGAAGGATAATGCAAGTCGAACAGATACCAGTGGAAGCAACTACGCTACGATCGCGGTGCACAACTGATGTTCAAGTGATCGTAGTAGATTGTACTGTTCATGGTTATACATGTGTCTCGAAGTGATTGTGACAAAACTGTGCTGACGTCTAGGATCAAACATTGATTTCACCACTGAACGGTATTTAAATGGCAATTATTGCGACAAACATATTTTTAAACAATAATAATATAATCAATATGGCAAATTCAACACAATTTTGAAAGATACATTTTTTCCTTCTTAACGAAACGTTAGTACTTAATGTCCTCGATATTTTCAAATTCCACTTGTAATTCAAATGAAACATCCTTCTTTTTCCTTAGTTCCGTTTAATTGAATGAAAGTCGATATTATAAATAGAGGAACAGGTGCGTGTAGTCTCTAATTAATTCTGAATGCCATATTTGAATGATTGAACGAAACGTTATTTTAAACGAAGATACAATCTTGAGTGACATTTCGCGAGTATTCACGTTTCGAGAATTAGCAGTTGAATAATGACCTGCATGGTGCAGGATAGCACAGTAGGTATAGATAAAGCTGCATTGCAGTGATGTTCCGGCTGTGTGTAGTAATAATGTTTTCAGAGAAGTCAGTCGGTCATTCGTTGCCGATACAATCGCATTCGGCGCATCGTGGGGACTTAATCGACTGGCGATCTGATTCCCTTCAGTAGGCTACTGGTATCACTCATTGTCAGTTCATAAAATTACATTTCTGGAGTAAATAATTTCACGTAAATATAAAAACTCACAATAATTTTAACAATATTCACTTTAACACGTTTATTGCTTATTCTCCAATAAGAATTGTAATTTTTCTGAAAGAATCAATTTACGAAAGGCCATAGAAATATTTCGTTGATCTTTCTTTTTCATATAACTCTATTCATTTACGAAAAATGTGTGTTCTATTTATTAAAACTGAACAATTATTATGTTTATTGCCAGCAAAAATAATAGATACATAATCGGACACTGTAACAATGCGAGGATATAAAAAATAAAACTTTTTATTACACTCTTTGGGAAAAACCATTTTCCATCGTAATTCTGTTTCTCTAACTACATTTTTAGGAATTCGATTTTGCGTGACAATCCGCGGTCTATTTATAAGATTTTACGTATTTTACGCGTGATTGAAGCCGTAAAACTCAGAGGGAATTTTCTCTGGAATATTCGTCAAATTGCAGTTAGAATTCCGATAGCCTTGGCATTCTTGTTGCTCGATATTGCATCCGCCTCACCGCTACCCCACTATCATCTCAACAATGTTCGTTGGTAGGTTAATTTGAAATGCTCGCGGCATCGAACTTTACGTGGGGATGTTGACGTGATCGATGATCTACTTTTAGATGTGCTCATCAATTTTTAAAGAAACCTCGATTTTGTTGAAATTTCAAGTTACATACTTCTTATAACGATACGGTGAATCCTTTTTTATGAGGTACGGTATTACGTGAAACATAACGAAACACGCACGTTGACAATGATTAAGGACTTGTTTGATTTCATTTTTCAACTAATGAGACGGAATTTCTTCATTCTGATTATTGTAAAATTATCCGAAACATATTCATAATGTATGATATAAATTATGAAACTGCTTACTCTACTTACTTAGTAGACAAAAAGAAATCATTATTTTTCTGTTCGAAATGTCTATGATATAAACTTACATAAAATGAAAAACTTATAAAAAATTCGAAGTAAATTCTGAATTTGTGTCAAATGTTAAAAGTAAATTCTGAACTATGTGTACAACAGTTTTGGAAATTTTATATTTCAGAAATAGTAGAACTAAATATGCGAGGAAGTGAGTTAAATTATACGGTCGCTAACCGTACAATGTAGCACGACGAAATTCACGTAAATACGTACGTATTTACTTACCTTTCACCTGATCTACACCTAAATAACCCAATTAAATATCTTCTTGTAATAAAAGTTTCTTATTTCAGTAATAATTTATAATATTGTTAAACTTGGAAGTTAACGTTTATGTCAAGGACATGTTAATATACATCTCTAAATATATTTTTATATCAGATGCAGTATTCGGATATATCGATAAAAACTTGATGAAATCTAGAAAATTCTATAAAATATAATCTCGGAATAGAAACATTCTTCGTGGCGTATTCATAATTTAATATAGTCCGAACTGCATGAAAAATCCTTTTTGAATTATTCATTAATCGTGGTATTCAATATCAACTAAGGTTGACACGATTTGATAAGTTGTTTTCTTCTATAAATAGAAATTATGAAATATTTATTAACGATACTGTAACCAATTCCTGTGTGTGGCTTTAGCAAGGTAAATTATCTCGGATAACATCCGCAACTATGTCGTATTTCGAACGATAATTACTGAGACCTCATTCACTGTGCATAATGAACTTTATCGACAATGATAATGTAATCGTATGTCGTATACGTAACTATCAACACAAATACTAAAAGTGAAATTATATCACGTATGTAAAATCGAAGAAAATCGATAAAAAAACTTTCCTTCGAAAAAGATTCATGTTTACAATAATTATGGATACTTCATGATAATTACACGGGAAAGCGTAATTCTCACTGGTATAACTCTGGAACTACCGAGTAACCAAATTGACTTTTTGAAATTTTTCTATAGACACTTCAAAAGTATATTTATGAAGACTTTAATTGATTTATAATTGAATTTGTATATTGCCAAATCAATTTCTTTAGTAATTTTTCAGAGAAGCATCTATCTTTTTAATAATTGCCAGAAGAAGGAATTGGGAATGAATCATTTTAATATAATATGTTGAATATTTTCAGCTCAATTTATCAAAAATCAATGTTATTCTTTTGAAAGTAAATTGAAGTAAAAGATTATTTCGTTATTATCAATATTCTATTCACAAAATAAAAGTGCAGTTACAGTGAACAGAAAATTCCTTTGTGTTCTTGCGAAGTATTAATGATAAAATGGATCTAACATTAATTTGAACAATTTCTCCATATACACATAACTGCCGTTCAGACTTAACCCTTTCGCAGTTCAATGGTACCTTGTGGTATTTGACAATTATTCATTCGGCTGTATAATTGTAATAATACACGTGTCGACTTATCGTATTTGAAGTATTACGTGGCTTTTTGTTATTGACATTTAAATAAGGCTATAAACTGTAAAGGAGTTGCAAAATGTTATATAAGCATATTAAGACATAATTGTATAATTACCTAGTAAAATATATACCTTTATATTTAGCAAAACCTTTTATTTTATTAAATTTCTATTGAATTTATTTATTTCAAAAGGTAACGAAACAAGTTTAAGATTGTATAGTATAATTGTAAGTTAAAATTTTAAAAGCTATCTTTTTGACTACGGAAAAAATAATGTTCAGTAGTCGCTGTCGCTCAAACAGAGTACTGAGTCACGTAATCGTGATAGTCAGTCACAAGTCGTCGTAGTTTGACAATCATGAACATTTAAAACTTACGCTATTTATTATATTAAGTCACTAAACCATTTTATTACCTAGTTCGTATTTAAAATCCTCCTAAACAATCATCTCACTTGTGTACTGCGAATTTTAATAATAATATTCTACTACAAAATATCCAAAGTTTCTATTTAAATTTAAACTTTGTGGTGGATATTAGAATGTTCAAGGACTACTACATATTATAAATTTAATTCAATATGTAATTATAACGATTATTAAGATACTGTTATTCAAGTGCTTGCACATAGCAGTGTAGATTACATGACGTAAACGTAATATAGTATACACGTGTAACGTATAAAACTGTAGACGACTGGATTTTGTAAATAGTCAACATTGCAGATAATGTAAAATTAATGTTTTACGTCTAAACTTGTTTAAAGAATTTGTCTTTCATCTGCTAGTTCATTGTAACCATTTTTAATCAGCAACTTTATCACTCCTCGTACAAAGCTCCGATATTATGTAACCTTATATGCGTGTATGTAAACATTCACAATGACCCACTTACATTTTCAATGCAAATTTGTATTCTTATCTGAAATTATCTTTCACCTTGCCGTTAGAATAATAACCATACAAATGTTTAATGATAGAAAACATAGAATAAAGGAACTGTTTTCGAATATTGATCGGATTTTTAATAGAATCCAATAACTGTTCGTTTTACACAAGTTTTTTAAGAAAATTCATAATCGTTTCTTTAGCTTTTTTCTATTGTTCTCTCGAAAGTCTCTCAGACAAATGTCACTTGATTTTAATTAAAAAAGTAATCACTTTGGCAAATGAATAGTTCGTATAGAATGGTCATCTATATATGCACACTTACGTATAGTCTGCGAATTCTCGTGCATTTATAGGCAATTTGAGAATGCAAACTTGCACAAAAGGCATACGAAAAAAATATATAAAATATCCAAATTGTAATGCCTTCTAGAATATTTATTACAGAGAATAACTTTCGGTAACAATTCTGCTCTTCTAAATATTTCTAACCCTTTGCGATCCAAAGTGTTCTTGATTTTCCACCTGAACCTTACATCAACGTTATTTAATGCAATTATAGTTTAATACAGCATTTTAATTATTCATTCAAGAACACTTAGAAAGAACTGAAGTGGTATCTTTATAATACATAATTATGATACCACAAACAATTGTATCAGAAATTGTTAAAATAAGTAGATATTGAAATAGAATTGAATGCCGAGTCATACTCGAAGAAGAATTAAAATTGAGAAATAGAATTCTCCACTGTGCAAATACATTAGATTAGACTATAATGTGCACAGCTATCGATACAGAGAAATAATTGAGAATATAGCGGCGTATAGTAACTAAAAGGTTAAAAGTTGAATCCGCATAAAGATCCGCAGTCTCTTCATATATCGTTTATCTGATGCTATCTACATATACATTGAAGGAAATCACTAGACGCGTTTCTTACAGAAGATGGTAGACGTAACAACAGCTCTACCATCCACGGGTGGTGCGTCCCTAATTGGGCGCACCAGAGGTGCACTCAGGTCTGTCAGATCTGCGCTGGGAGGTAGCGGAGAGTACCTTCAGGGTCTAGGAAGCAGAATAGGTTCCGCTCTAAGTAGCAGTTTAGAAGAAACTGAATTGACCACGACCCCGTCGACACCGCCCTCTTCGCCACAAGCACCGATTCAGACTCCTAAGCAGGAAGACCATCTAGCTAGAAGAAAATTAAGGCCCCCCAGGTACATTTCTGTCTAAAGAATGTCTTCTTAAAGGCTCCCATACACATTGAAACATGCGATGATGCGAGCATCGCAACAAACGATGGGTTTGAGCTTTTTTCATTTTTCATTTTTCATTTGAGTGCAACATGTATCATGACTTTGGAAAACTCAAACCCATCATTTGTAGCGATGCCTGCATCGTCGTGTTTCAACATGTATGGGGGCCTTTACACCGTACCGGGAACCGATCAAATGACCGGATTTCAAATTCCGCATTCCCTTTCGTTCATCTAACTTTACATCAATTTCTGTATTGTCCGATTAACCTATTAACTGTGGAATTTAATTTCAGAAATCTTTGATAATGCTCGTAATGAAATCGAATAATAAAACGTATACTCGTCTAACGCAGGCCAAATGTGCCTATAATATATTCTAACGAAAAGCTAAAGCAAAGAGCATTTCTGTCCTTTCTTTTATTTCTGTTTTCAGTAAAAGGAAATCTATCATGTAACTTGTTTACCTTTATTTTGTAGCCACTTATTTGATTGGTTAAATAGGAAAACTGCCGATACAGTTAGCGTTAACCCTTTGCACTCGCATGTCATACTGAAGATGACAATAAATATTTACTATAGAACGTTGGAAATTGTTTTAAAGAGTACCACACTTTAAGAGATTATAAAAATTAAATCTTATTATAATAATAATAAACAAAATAAGTATAAAACGTTGAATTCTACCGCTGTAAATTACTTTAATTCATTTCCTTAAAAATAAATACAAGGTTACACCCAACAACATTGAAAATGAATCAAGTGCAAAGGGTTAAATGAACCCAGATGTAACATCTGATGATAAACCAGTTTGTCCAAGTCTTTATTAATCGTTCAAGTCCCAAGCAATGCGATCGCGCTTCTTTATTACACTAAAAATGGCAGCCTATCGCTACGTAAAATCAGATTAAGCTTATTCATTTATTTTCCTTCTAATTATTTATTATTATTCTTGTTATTACTCGCTTAGCAATGGAAAAGTGAAACGATCGCACTATTTCACATTTTTTTATGTCAAAATAGAAAAGCGTATTCAGTTTCTGAATCGAAACGAAAGAAATGCGCGTTTGGCATTTTTCGACCGGATTTTTGCAAAAACCCATGAAATTCAGACGGTTAATTTGCATTGATTGAATTTTTCTTTCCATTGAATGCAATCCGGTAACAATTTATAATTCGCAGTAAATTAAATATCGCATTGATCGAGACCTACCTGTAATTGGTCAATGTGAGTAAAGGCACGCCTCTCCTCACACGCATTTTCGGCATGTGTATGTCATTCGTGGATATAGTCACATGGTAATTAATCAATACCGCAAACAAGACACGCAACAAAAAAACCCCCCTTACCTCTGTGCCTGTTCTGGATGTCAACTCACCGTCAGATTAGAATTCATGAAACGAGTCATTCAGAAGACAATACAGTTAAGTCTAAAAAACAAAAATTGAGAAAATGAATGTTTCTTAATACATAATTTTTATACAACATATTCAGAAGCTGTAGAAAGAAAAGCTTTCTGGCCTAGAAAGAATATTATTTATTTCATGAAAATTTATAAAAATCAAAAACTGGACTTAACTTCCGAGCGACTCAAATCATGTGTGAAAGAATACCACTCGGGGAATTCAGCTTTCACTGACATCGCTGACATCCGTCGACAGATTTGGGGCTGGATTGTCGTATGAGGACTACGAAGCGATGGCTAGGCACAAATTGGAGCGTCAAGGTAGCGCCAATGTGTCTAGATGTATGAGGAAGTACCCTCCAGGCATGACTTACGAGGAGATAGCGTCCTCGAGGTCGGCAGCTAACAAAAAACAGGACAATAAAATTGAGGAAGATAATAGCCCGGACAGAGACAGCCAGGAGAGTATAGAGCCCCTTCAGGAGAAAGATATCAAAGCCACGGGGCCTGATCCATTCGATAAATTGAATTACAAAGCAGGTGAGTAGTAAAGCAAACGTTTCTTTAAAACAATTATGCCTTACACGGATTTCCATGGGTTTGATGTTTCATGAAAACTTACGAACGAGCTATTTCACCGACCACACATTTCACTGTGTATTTTTTTTAAAGCAATTGGTTTACTTAACAATTTAATTGTTGACATAAAAAATGGTAAATTTTACGAAAAACAATTTAAGACTCTTTATAATATTAAATAATTGAATGTTAACACTTTGCTAACCGAATGGAGACATCTCCAACTTTTCACTTAGCAACACATTGCCATTTATTTTGTTTATTTTTTTTCTTTTGGTATATAGTAATTCTTGAATTGGGATAAGATGTTGCGATTCATCAAATGCCTTTCTTGCTTTTATAAAACAAAGTTTTTAACCAAATCAGTTGAACGAGTTCGATTAAAGTTAATGAAAAAAGTTATGTTTATGGGCCCTTTTAAGCGATTGCCTAAGTGTTAAAATGATTGTTGAATGCTTCAGCTATTGGACGGTTAAATAGTTCGGATGTAATGTGAATGTAAAGGAGTAAGGTAACTTGTAAAATGAAATATTCTGTTTGGTAAGAAATTATTTTAAATCACATTCATTACCTTTCTGCAAATATCTTATCCATTCAGATTCATGTAACGAAAAATTCAATTTCATCGAAGTAATTATAACATTCCAAATTACAGTCTGTATTTAATGAATCTTTTCATATTTTCGTAACTACTTGGGAACAACTACAGATTACCAGTTTTCATCCGGTACGAAATTAACGATTCACATTCAAATTGTTTACAATTCTTTTAAATACACTTGCCAGCTAAAGTTAAGAAACGAAAGATGTTTGTGTAATTCGGTGAATACGCATCATTGAATGATATAAATGAATTAATATTACTTAAAGTATAATTTATGAACCAAAGACGCAAATTCATGTTCCGATACAGATACCTAATGATAATGCTTTTTTTATATAAATATAAAATATGAATGATATTTTATGATAATAAAGATGAATTAATGTAATAAATTACAAAAGCACAATCCCAGATCTCCTAACAATTTTTCGATATCTTAGTAATGTTATAAAAACGATTTCTATTCATGAAATATGTATAAATTGTGGAATAAATAATTAAATTTTTTCCCAAAAAGATTTCGATCATATTTATCTCACATTTATACATATCCTAATACTGATATGCCTATGGTGTTTTCTTTATTCAGTTATACATACAAATAAAAAACAGAATAAAACCGTTACGCAATTTCCATGTATAACTATTATGTTTCTTAACTTTCGTCCGTAAGTACTTATTTGATTAGCACTTAATATTTCTATCTATTTATCAATGTGGCTTTCGTTTGAACCATAAATGTATTAAACGATTCGTTCCTATTATTTTCTTAATCTCTGCGGTCTTGTCTACTTTTTATCTGGACTAATGATTTACAATTTATTTGAGTTTTGCACTAATATCCCAAACACTAATCGATTTCTCAAACGTTATAAAGACACGTTACTTTGAGTAAGCAGCATTTCTTTACACCGTTACTTAACGTAACAGCGATTTTATTTTGAAGTGTAACTTATTTTATTGTTTCTTTCTCACAAAGCAAGGGCCCCGACCCGCTATCAGACGGTCGTTTTTCGTTTAGGTAAATGAACGTTGATGTGAATGTATTGTGAACCACAGCAGGTGTTACTCGTATATCACGAAATCCCTGTGTCGATTTTTTCCTATTGCACTGAGGGGAAAGTTTCAATCGAAATGCTGCTGATAAGATATCCTTAACCATTTAAATGTTTTATTCACTTTTACAAGTGCTCGCTTACGCGCTTAATTATTTTTAACCAGTTAACTGCGTTTGACGAGTATACATGTCATTTTAAAGCTTGAAATGATACTAATTCTTTCAACGATGTATTCTTTATTTTTTCAGATAAACATGTAATTCTTTTTTGTTTTGCTTTGGTTTTTCATTCAAATATACTCTAGTTGCATTCGTTCTGCGTTTGACGAGTACACGCTTCATTTTTTGATATTATTACGCGCAAAAAGAGAGATTTTTCAAACTAAATTCCACAGTTAACAGGTTAACATTCGATATAAAACAAAGAACTGTCATTTTTACATTACGAGTATAGTCGACATAAACACTTAAAGGATTAATACAATCTATATATTCCTGTTAATAGCCGAACCTGTTTGTAATGAATTTCATTTTTAAGAATATCAAATTGAAAAGTTGTCGAATGGACATACAAGTAAATTCAGTTTATCTATAGCAGCATTCAATTACTAATTAACTTTTCTTATTGTTTATGAACATTCGTGGTAACACAGTATTTCTTGGAACAACCAAGAAAGAACAGTCCCCACAAGAATTCACGAAAATGCATGAAGAGGCTGAAAAGAAGAATAATGGAAAACATGTTTAATAAATAAAAAGAACAAAGGCATTAGCACACGTATAGAAGTTATATTAATCCCTTAACTACGTACAACATTCTCAGGCCCGTTGAAAACAAATTCAGAACACATCACCGTCGCATTTCGAAAGGATGTAGGTTTAAATGGAACAGTTGACATGGGAATCAATTTTTAGCGGCAGTTTTGAAGCAGTATAACTAATTCTTTGTTTACACGATAGATACGTTCGGTGTAAAAAAACATTCATATAAAAAATATACTATATCTACAGGAAAGTAAATATTGGTTCCATACCATACATAAGAATTTCATGGTTATTCTGTGTTTACGTTTACTCTAAAGTTAAAGATTGATAATAGACAAGTAATATTTCATTTATATGAAATATAAATAAATAACATTTAGATTTGTCGAATTTGTTTGAAAATGTTCATCGTGAGTCCGACTAGATATTATAGGAGAAGAGGTTAAACCGAATCCTGTGAAAAGAAAAGAAATATTTTTCTAATTCGTGTTAAATCAAACGAATCTTGCGAGAGGAGAATCAGCGCAAATATCATCGAAACTTTGCCTTCGGTGCGAATGTAATAGTGTCTATTTATATTCCTGCAAATTTTGTGGAAAATGGTTCCCCTTTGTTGGAAAATGCTTTCAACGCTTTCACGTGAATTCACCTGTGTGTAAAACCGTTATTTCTATCTTATTGCTCGTTGCTGAATAATTCTAAGATGTAGATAGAATTTTGTGAAAACACGTTTTTTTGCGCTTGATACATTAAAATATTTAATTAATTTATAACAACATTATATTGCTGAAATATTTGTAATTGAATTAATTTGCATAAGAAGATATAAAAAAGAAAATGTTTTACTTAAAAAATCGAAATTATTTTACTTTATTAATAACAATCTATAAACGTATTTATGGATTGACAAATATTGGAACATCTTTTTTGTATTTAATGTCTTCTATATAGTCAAATTAATTAATTGCAGCTTATAACTTTATAAACATAAGGAAGACGAGGGCTGGTTGTCACGTGTCTGATAATACAATATTTAAAATTATTACATAACCATATATATCTTGAACTATTATATAATTTTATTATGCAATTGCAACTCAGTAACAGTAAAATTGTTTAGTTCCATAACATTACAGGTGTTTGTTCTTATTTTGATACGATCTACACTCGTAGAAAATTTAAACTTTGTGACGAACCACTTGAATCTCCCTTCTAAAACAAAATCTGTTAAACGTAAGTAAAACAAAAAGAGATATTCAGTTTCCATAATAAACAGAGTGATGAAATCATTGCATAAAGAGACGACATCGAACAACATAACTTGTAAAATTATCCAAATTAAAATATCCAAACTCGAATTCTCCCTTTTAGAGACACCTCGTTTCCCAAACCGTTTAAACTAAGGAATATACGCTTCCATGCAATCCATTCGTTTAAAACGTGTGAATAGATCCTTACTCATCGTAGGATAGCACCATTATACATTTCTCGTTTGCGTAGACATTACTGTTTAGACACGTCCTCAATGGCGTTGAAATTATGGATTTGACGTCGCACACACGCACCATACCTGAGTATCAATTAGGGAATTAGTAGATAGTTAACAGAAAATTAGAAGAGTGTTTCCTGTAGAATGTTATTTCAGATATGCCTTGTAGCAGTGACTCGACAAGCGATCAAGATGGCTACGGGCCTAGCACGAGCCTAGATTCAAATATGGACGGTCGTAGAATGTGGCACAGATCAGGTAAAAATTATTTTAATGAATGATCTTATGCGTAGTTTTCTTACAATATATCATCGAGGCTTTTCAGGCTTCTTAGTCTTTAATATTCTATTAAATCAAACAAATTCAGTAAATAAAATGTTGAAGAAATGAAACTAACAGCAGTCATTGTGTTTCTAAACTAGTGTCATGTCTTGCAACTTTAAACAATGTCTATAGTATTAATTTCATTTTCTTTATGTAAAATATAGAATTGTGATCGTTACAAATATTTAATATTAGTACCCAACGTATTGTAGGACTAGAAATTATCCTTCAAAGCGAAGATGGAAAACTTATTTGGTTGGATGTCATATCGAAAACTATTTTTTTTCTCATTTCTTTGAACGAAATTAGAAGAGTACAGCATTTATCTTCTAAGTATTTGTTGATCATTGTTATGTCACCGATTACAGCTGTAATGTTTGTAATTCAGGTTCATCGGGATCAGTTCAGTCTTGGGCTTCCAGTTTATCGGCAGACAGCCAATCCGAAGAAGCTGCAGCAGATTTCATGAAGTCTTTTGTACCTCTTTTATTCGACTCTCCAAATACCATTGATCAAGAACAAAAAGCCAATTTCGGGCAAATGGTTCTCGTGCGTATTTCTAAATTATATAGTACCTTACCTTGAGTCGCAAACCGATCGAACACTTAAAAAGTTCACACAAAATAGTGATCAATCATCCAGCTGGCTTTTTTTCGTAACTTTTCTGTCTTTTGCGTCTTAAGAACGTTACACATACGAAACAGATAAAAATAATTTATAAATTAAGTACTATATGAGTTATTCAATTAGTCTTTTACGTATCGATGTAGATTGGACACTTACATAAAGTGATCCAAATAATGTATTATGAAATATTTTTCTCGGAATTACAGCAGACATCATTTTCACTTTTTTTTGTAATTAAATATGACAAGGAGAAGGAGTAGATCATGTGCGATACCCAAAAACTTTTTTTATTTTTTTTTCAAATAAAAAACATTTTATAAACCTAAATAATCAGCTTAAACCTTTCTCAGAAATATGTAACATTAAAGGACTGACGAAAATCTCAATTCTTTACGACCTCATCACGGATTAATGTACATACGACATTAATTCGTTGGAAATTAAACAGTGAACGTAAATGTTTTGCAGACAGAGTCCGGTAGAATATGGTTCTCCCGGGTGGTTAATGCGAGAAGAGCTCGTCCGTGTGTCACAGAGGCTTCGTTTTATTCGTTGGCGCAACATTTCGCAGTGGCGCTCTTCGAGTGCCATGAGGCCGACGATTTCGCACCCGCGAAGAGTCTTATGAACATGTGCTTCACATTCTACCATGAAGGTACCAAATTTATATTCTCCATATTTTTATTCACTTCGTCGAATAAATTTAACCAGTTAATTGTGGAATTCCGTTTGAAAAATCTCTCACTGTGTTCGCAACAAAATCAAATAATAAATTATATACTTATTAAACACAGGGCAAATGCATCTATAATATGTTCTAACGAAAAACTAAAGCAAAACAAAAAATAATTACACATTTATCTGAAAAAATAAATAATTCATCATTGATCAAATTAAGTACCATTTTACGTTTTAAAACATCACGTCAGCTTCCTACACTTCACACCATACGTTATGACTTTCGATACAAACACACATAAAAGTAATTTTATTTTATTTACACAAGATAGAAAATGTTGAGTGTCACAGATAAGTATGTATAAGTTAGACTCACCGCTGATTACCTGTCTGATTTTGTTGATGCGCCCACTTTTAGTTTAACCCTTTGCCTGAAGATTTGTTTTGAATCAAACGTTCCTGCTTACGCTGTTTAATTTTGTCGCAACCCTGTGGATACGTTGTGTTAAAGAAAATTGAAGTATTACAGCTTCAATTAAATTTATTTATGAAAATAAGCAAATTATTTTAATCACGATACACCGTATTTGTAAAATAATTTGTGAAATCTAGTTTCGCACTGAGAGCAAGCGCGAGTGCGTCTCGTCATTTTAGTTCAAGGGGTTAATGTGAATTGAAGTAATTTTAGTGATAATAATAACATTCGTTGCTGGTTATCTTTGGGACGACTTCGACAGTTTGAAGAAAAAAAGAAACCTCGAACTGTTAACAAGCATGCATAATAACATATGTAATTAGACGAAGTAGTATTTTTACTCGACCAGCCGGTTAACAATGTGCAGTAATTTTTCTGACTGTCGCAGCTAACAATACACGTTTCTCTTTAAACTAGTTGAGGTACCAGGCTTAGAACCATATCGAGAATATTTGTACACACACCTACGAGTGCAACCGATTTGGACGTCAATGAGATTTTGGACAGCGGCATTTTTCGATGCGGTGCAATGCGAGAGAGCTTCGAAACCAGTTCCTCCAAGACCCAAGTCTCTGGATCAAGAAGCCATAGCTAACGAAGATCGTAGATTTCAAGCAAACATCGTGTTTGGTCAATTAGGGTATGTTTATGTTTTTCAGATAATGGTTTTAACACTAAGTTTACGGAACACGTTAATTTTACGTATATTGAATTTTATGAATATTATTTTGTAAATGTTCACGCCTGTTTCGATTGATGCAATTACACGGATACGTATCCCTAGTTATCTATTTTCAAACCCCCAATCTCCAAAATTTAAACAAACGAACATCAATTTTTCTAGGAACAATAGAATAAATTATAGAATAAATGTCTGTAAACCTAGCATTAAATTCGACTGATGTGTTGCTCTTTCTTTATTAATGTTAATTTGAAATTGTTTAAATTTTTTAGGACATTTACATGTAACATGCACGCATTCGGTCTGTCACGAACTCTGTGTTTAGAGTTTCTTAGAAAGCAGTGCGTAATTGCTAATTTAACGAAAGGTAGGATTATTACATAACACTCATTACAAATTACCAAATTCATTTAATTATGCTATTATCAGTAATTACTGATATTTATTCATATGGTTATAAAACATACAGCAACACACATTTTTTCAGTTTACCCTTGATCCTTCGAATTCTTTTAATTAAATCTAACTCACGGGATTAAAGGTAAATAACTTTATTCCCGTAAGAATCAATATATATTCAGTTTAAGTACCATATGTATGAAATTTCTCGTAATGTACATTATCTTTTCTAAATGATTATTAGCATAATTCATACAGTATAAATTCGATTTCATACAATTTGAAACCCTACAAAACTTTCATGTGAATATTAACAGTATTTAAATTGTTTAATTCCTCTGTACTTAAAAACCACTTTATTCGAAGTGAATATAACAAATTAAGAATATCGGGCAGATATAAAAATATAGATTGCTGTTTACAAAACATAGGAGAACTTTAAGAGAGTATTTTAATGCGACCGATCGAGAAAATCGACTTTTTCTGTTTAATGTATAGAAAGTATAATCTTCTAAAAATGTTCTCCTGAAATTTCGCAGTAATTTAAAAAGAAATAATAAAATTAGAGTTATCTTTCTTTCATTTCGCAACATGAAAATGAACATTTCACATATACTGTGTTTTATCTATAACAATTTTATTACAAACATTGTTTTAACGTTACAGAACAAGAGAAAATGTTACGCGACAACATAGAAAGAATGTACAACGAGACTGAACCTTGGCGGTAGTTCTATTTGATTACGTTTCCACAACGAATGAAAACATGTCCAAACAAGTTTATCCGCAACACGTCCAGCTTCTCGATTGCAACTTGCGGACAACATCGACGAAGAGTCAATTAAAACGTAACTCCAATGAAAAAAAAATGGTCGATTATCAAGAGCAGAAGTCAATTTCATTGAGTAATAAACAATCCGAGCACGGAACGAAACATTGTAAATTATCCTTGAGCTTAAAGCACAGACGGTTCCTAACATTATATGGACAGAATTATAGAAATTTAATTGTATTACAAGTAAAATCTTTATCCAAATATAAAAGAATTTAATTCTATAATTTTAGATTTCTCTTAATTAATGCTTACTTATTACAATTATGATAACCTGTTTGTAATACTTGCTTAAGACAATTTGTTGACCGTTTAATTAACTTCTAAGAATTCGAGCCACCCAATGTGATAAATGAATAAAACTTTAAGAAATCTTGAATTGACGATTCTAAAATAATGAGGACGTCAGTGTTCCAAATTTCTATAAATTTTAAGAATAAACGGACAATAAATTTCGCGGCATGAGGTCGCAACATTGCTAATTGTTTTATGATAATAATCGATAATGAAATATATTTCTGTATCAGCGAAGAATAAAACTTCCAACCACCAAACGCTGGAAATTACTGTACCATTGTCAGAATTTATGATTTTCAAGAAAATATAAGTAAGTTAGAAACAATTCTCACAATTTAGAATGAATATTCATTAATTTTTATAAGATCAAATAGTGTCAAGTATGGATAAAGTTCATTATATTTATTAAAATAATGATAATTTATTAAGTAAAGTAATACTAGAGTTGTTCATGTATAAAAATTTAATGTGGAATAACTTTTCGGAACCAGTGTAAATTTGACATTAGTATTAATATAAAAACTATATTTTTTTATTTATATGTTCTTCCTATGGGGATACTTTTATCTCTGAATGCAAATTAATGATGGGCTAGAAATGCTCTGTGATCACTACCAAAATATACTTGTACGTACATTTATTAACAGCATATATTAAACAAATTTATTTGCCAATATTCATGTAAATATATAAAACATAAATTTGTATTTGAAGATATATCATTCAATCAAAAGGACACTGCATCTCATTTTGTCTATTGGCCTACACTTTCTTCAAAGATTATTAGTAAGTTAAGAAAATCATTAATAAACTTCTTGATCATACAAATTGTTATTGTTAATAAAAGAAAACATTTTTTTTATCTAATCTATAAGTACATGTTATCTTGGGATATTTTAATGTTGGCAGTATACTATTCATTTATAGTTTAATAAAGTGGTAAGAAGTAACAGAAGTGCATACAAAGTACGCGCATCTACCCCTTCTTAAACTTTAATCATCGTTTACAAACATTTAATGATACACAAGATTCAAAATTTTTATAGCTATGTATTCGGGCAAGTCTCCTCTATTTCCTACGACAAATTTTAACTGCCTATCGTTTTTAGTTTTCACGTAACACTTGGTTCTCTGAAAAATTCGACCGTTTTTACTAAAACCCAGTATTTTCGAAAACTGGACGTGACCCAGCAATTTAATTTTCGGATTCGTATTTAGGGTAAGGAACTCTATAAGAATCACCTAGTGGTTATTGCAAAAAGCAACATAGGTTAAAATTGTTCCACAATGTTATTGTAAAGAGATATCTCCAGTCTTTAAATATATGGTAGAGATACTCGTAAAAAAAATGTTTTCAATATTTTCACAGACGTTCGAATATAGAGAATTCTTGGAACAAAAAAGTATGTTCCCGTTATCACTGGTTATATAATGTATACAAACATTTTACATTAAAACATATTGAATTGGAAAAGTAGAAACTTCATATTATAAAATGAGATTTCAGAATGTTACAACAAAATGTTGTGATCGCTTAATTTTTCATACTGGTGTATATTTATTATTTAAATCTATATTACGACCTGTGTTACGTTCTTACTATATACATGGAAAACCACAAATATTTTTGTCCTGCTAAGAGCAGTACTCGAACGTACGATTCTTTTACGTATGGAATGTCGCATCGTGGTGTTACAATATAAAAAGATATTGTTGTATTAGTTTCATTATGAACTACATTTTTAGAGTTGCGTTTTTTGCGTAAAACTTTGAAGAAACTGATTGTACTTTTCTCAGAATTTTAAAATTATTATTTTAAGACGAAATAGATAAAATAAAAATTTATTTATTATTATATTGTTCAGAAATAATGTTCAAACTAAAACTATGATTTTCTCAAAAAATGTAATTTTTTATCAATATAAAGGAAGAACGAACTGTATATGATTAATATCTTTTGAGACAAAAAATATTGTTGAAAGTTCTAAATGTCGAGGCGTAAAATATCTTCGATAAATGTAGAAATCTGCTGTATCGTACCACTAAGAGTGTATAAATAAATTACCTACATGGCACCATATTGTCAGCTGCTATTTAATCAGACTGTACCCTCTCACAATCAACTTCACTTTCATTGATTTTCATATCGATACTCGTTCCATTCAATGTGAGTAGTTTCATTCAATTTTTTCGATGTCGAGTATATATCGTTTCCGAAAGTATCGATACTACAAATAATTGATATCGAAACAAAAGTATCGAATACTCCATTTACTCTGTGCATAAAATCTTAGAAGCTTGGACCACAAAAGTACATTGAATGTTAGAATTACTTTTATATTTTACAAAATATGCTACAACAATTCTGTTTATAAAAGGTACTTCTTTTATTTGCATTATACACTAGTTTTACGTAATTATCCGTTACATTACTGCACTTCTTTTATGATATAATAACCGTTACATGATATTATGCTATACTTGTGTTTGTCGAATGAGTATAGCCGAGGTATTGTAGAGGATAACATCAACAAACTGCTGACAATTAATAAATAATAGAAGTTGATTTGTTATCAAAACAATTTCTTTTAAGACTTATGTTGATTAGATATTTTGTACACCTTGTAATAGGTACTACATGTCTTCCAAAAGTAGGACCTTTTTTTCAATACCCTATATAATCTTTTAAAATATGTGGACAAAAAAAGTAAATATATACAAATTTACTTCCTTCATGAAATTAAGTTTAAAAAAAGAATTATCTCAATATTATCAATAAGATAATAAATTAAATTAATGTTATTTAAATTAATGTTTAAGAATTTATTGATAATATTGAGATAATTCTTCGTTATATATATCCTCGTCATCATATCATTTAAAAAATATAGTTTGTTATATACTTAAAAACTCTTATAGTAATGTTGGAACAAAACATTAAGATTTTGATTTAGAGTAATAGATTTACAAGCTGTATCTATAGATTGTATCATAGATGGTGTACCACAACTAAAAACTCCAATCCTATTAATCTAAAATAGAAAACATTATACAGAAAATGACTATTATGTTTCATGTAATATTAATAATATAATGGTATTAAAAATAAGCTGAAATGTTAATATTACTTACTGTAGGATGTAACTTTTGAACAGATATAAAAAACTCTGAAAACTTAGGTCGCCCAAAATGTGTTACTGCTTTCAAACCAGTAAATAAAGACTTATTTGATATTTTTTGAAAATGTCGTTCACAAATGTACTAAAAAATATTGAATCATTACTTTCTTTTTAATATTTTATGTATTCAAACATAAATAAACTTGTGCCTATACATATACAGTGTGTACCAGAATGTATAGCCATAAATTTTCTAATGAACTCAGCATACTAAAATAAGAAGAACAATTCGTGTAAACATTTGCCCCATCCAATTTTGATTACAGTCATTTCTATCTTCTAATATCTTTTTTTGACAAACTAGGCTCTTCGTTTAATCATTTATTGACAACATTTAAGATATCTTAGTCTGTCTTTGCTAGCTATTTTCTAAACTCTGCCTTGCAATATTTCTAAATCAGTTTAATAGATTCATTTGTAACAGCAGTCTACAGAAGAAGTTCCTAATACAGTTATTTAATCGTTTATATTTGAATTGATGGTAACAACAAATTGTTGAGAGTTGTAAAAGAACTGAAACAACATTAGCAATTTTGAACAGATCTAAAAATGAATGGTTAAATATCTAGAGGTTTATATATGAGTTAAAGATGGTCATTTCTGTATTTTAGGAATATGATTAGATAGGACAAATATTTATATGAATTTTTTTTTATTTTAATGTATTAATTATTGAATGCACTAGTGAAGTTCTTTCCACCCTTTACTTTTTGAATACCTTATGTAACTTACCAATAATATAGTTCGTAAATCAAATTTCTGATAAAATTGTGTAATAAAGATGTGACACAGTATAGTATTATTTATATCAGCATTTTCAATGTTTCTTATTATATCAACCATCCATTCAAACTGTTTTTGCGTTCTTGTTACCCAAAGAAAATAAACCTGTACATCAATATTAAATTAACTTTGAAAATTATTATCTTCAATATTATCTAAACTATTAAAAATTACTTTTTTACGACTCATATTTAATTCGTTATTTGTTTTATATACAATATCCTTTAATATTGATGCAAAAGGTGTAACTCCTATTCCACCTCCTATCATTATACTTAAATCATAATTATACCAATTTTGGTGGCATTGACCATAAGGACCATCTATATGGATCTATCGATAAGAAATACAAATTATGAAATATGCAAGGTCTAGTCAAATTTAATAGTGCATATACATACCATTGGTAATTCTTTTTTAAGCGTTACAGCAAGATCCAGTCTATTTCTAATTTTAGTAGTCCAAGATCCAACCGTTCTAATGTGTATGCTTAAATTTGACTCATGAGGTGCAGATGATAATGTGAACGGATGATATTCGCTTGTTTGTAACGCAGGACAAGCAACCCTAATCCACTGACCAGATTTATATTGAAAATTTGGAGGCTTGGGAAACATAATACAAATTACACCTGAAACATACATTTTTTTACATTTCCATAATTTTGAATGTGTACAGTACAAAAAAAGTTCAATTCTGAAAATGTATAATAAATTATAATTTACCTGATGGTAGTATATCTGCCTTTAATATTGATATTTCAATTGTTTTTCTTGTTACAGTAACAATCTTATCAATAATAAATAAAATTAATGGACCCAAAAGAAAATAATGGAAAAATGGTTCCTGTAATACAGTGAATATTATACTTTTATAACTAATAAAACTAAATTAGATATATATATATTAATTTTATGTGAAATAAATACTTGAACAAATCTTCCTGATCCATGCAGTAATATTAAGATATAGAAAACAGGATATAAAGAATGTATTGATGAAAACCAGTTATAAAAAATTCTACGTATGTTTGGTAAAGAACATAGATATATTAATCCTGTTATAATAGTTAAAAGGATTCCAGTTAATCCTGTTATTGTTTGAAAACACCAATAATGGAATTTAGGCAGTACATGTGTTCTGAAATATAAATTTTGTATTAGTATAGAAGCTTGTGTAGTATTCATTGTAAATTACTTACTGATGAAAATAATTAGGGAACAAGCATGTTAAGTCGTCAGCAGTTTGCGTTGAAATATGATAGAAGTTAAATCCATGGCCAATTATATGAAGTACTAAAGTTTTATGAGTAGTTGATGTTAATATAATTTGATTCAGTAATTAGTAATTTATTTAAATTGTAAAATACATTATAGTTACCTGTAAAAAGTAATCCCCAACAAGCAATGTACTTATGCATTTCAATCATAAAATCGAATGGTATGTACAATTGTAAAATAGTATCTCTAAAAAATGTAATTGTATTATGACACATTGTAATTAAAAGCGTTGAGTATGTAAACATTATTCCGGATGCTGCTCCTCTAGTTATTGCTAGACCATATCCTAAAATATGTCTTAAACCAGAGTGTTCACATTCCATAGAATAATCTATAATAAAGTTTTAATAAAACATAATGATATATTTTAAGATTACAAAAATTAAAAATATACTCACAATAATATCTCTCAAAAAAGGTACCAATAAGAATGAAAGTATATAAACATAGCCAAAATATTTGTAACTTTTTATTTGCAAGATATTTCATTAAAGGATACCAGTAGTCTTGAGAATATGGAATATCATCAACAATTTTTTCTATTTCATGTATATTATTTCTTTCTTGATGTATGTCTGTTTCTATTTTATTATCACCACCAATTCTAGTTCGCAATTCGTTTGGATCTGCATATAAACTTTCCATTGTTCTTTGCACTTCTCCCATAAAAGTTGATTTAGATGTAGATGCTCCAATATGTAATTTCTTATATTTTCCATTCGCGTTGATATTAAGTTCTAATTCCGCGCAATTTAACTTATCATTAAAATCGCTAAGGATTTGATGAAAATCTTGCAAATTTATAGTTTCCTTTATCGCTATATTTGCGTGGTCCATCATTGATTGCACCAAAGTTTCTAAATTATTATCAGTTATATCTGCATTAACTGTTTCCATAAGTGATCTAAAAATATCACAGCAAAAAAAAATTAAATTACTATCTAATATAATATGTAAATTTCATTTAAATTAATACCTTAGCATATTCTTGAAATCATCTTTTTTCAATCTTCCTGTTCCATTTATGTCATACATATCAAACATCAGTTTCACTTTTTCTTCCGCTGAACCTTTTAAAAATATAATCAACATATCAAGAAATTCTCTGAATGATATGAAACCATTTTTATCTTTATCGGTTAATTTAAATATCTGAAAATTGTATTTCATGTCTATTATATAATTACATATATAAAAATTTCATATTATTACCTTCCCAATAAATTCTGAATCTGGTGTCATACTCAGTGCTTCAGAAAATTCTATTATTGTTAACTCAGTATAAATTACTTCCTTTGCAACTGTTGAATCAATTTTTAACATTTCTTCTTCTGTGTGTACTATGTGAAGTGCCTTAATAATAAGTATAGAATGTGATGTCATTAGAAATGTTAAAATTCAGATGATGATTATATTGTAATGGTATATAATTTCTTGTTATACTTTGATTATTATACCTGTGCGAACACTACACGGAAAAATTGTTCCACTTTTTTTTGTCGACTTCTTTTAGTAACAGCTTGCTTGAACAATTCTTTAACTGTAATATTCTCACTTTCTTTTATTGAAATAGTCCTTAATTCCACAATAAACTTCTTCATAGTTCGAAGAAATAAGTGTTTCAAGTAATTAGTATCAAATTTTAGGACTAAATCATAATTATGATCCACCCTAATCATAACATAGTTACTATCAGAAGATATAAACACCTGTTGAATGACATAATTTTGCTTATAAGTTAGTGCCATCTATTTTATACTTTGTTTAGAAAATTTAAATATGTATTACATATACCATTATTATTGTGCAATTCGTCAAATCTATTGCTCGTATTATAAATCCTAAATAATTTTGTACTTCTATTTGTTTTTTCTCTACATTTAAAACAATAATTATAGGTCTCAATAGCAATTTTTTACCTTGCCATTCATTTGCTAGAAAAAAAAAGAAAAAAATGGCATTAAAGATGTACATTTAAATTCTAATCTCAGTACTTAAAAATGTACCTGTAAACATTGTAGGAGTTTGATCTTCATTCATTAAATGTGGTTCTCTGCACTCTGATTGGAATTGATCTTGATTATTTAATTTTATTCTTAATTGAAAATAAAATAGTGTTATACAACCTGTTAAGAAATTTTATTACGTTTTAATTGCCTTCGCAATACTATGAGAATTGTATATGTATATTATATCTTACAACAGAAAATAGTAGATAATCCCATAAATGTGAAAATAAACGATATATTACTATTGTAAAAGTAATCATACGTTGCAGGATTTGTACATTTATCAACATCGTCAATAGTAATCTGCTTGGCGTAGTAGCAGTTCATGTTCGTACCACTTTTTTTACATGTATTTTTTGTAATGATTTTATTTTCATAACAAGTTCGATGCATTTCTTTTCCTGAAATAAAAGAAACTTACATTAATGTTTAGAAAGAGATTTATATTAAGATTTAGAAAGAAATGTATTAACTAAGTTCAAATACCTGATTTAGGTACCCCAAAAGGTTTACTTGGAATATCATTATGTTCCATCGAAGTAACGCTTATCATTATATCATAAAATGAAAGATTTTCCAATCTTTTAATTTCATCAGAAGTGAAGAGTCTAACATATTTTGTTGCAAATTTTAATATGAAAAGAATGGAATATATATATCTAAAAATATTTTTTGTTTAATAAAATTGACTTACTTATTTTTTTTATTCTTATACCAAAATCTGTCTCCATTACGTATACGTTCAAATTGATCAAATATGATAGCTTGAAATAATTCTCCAGGCCCATCTGTTGTTTCTAAAATTCCTCCCACCCATAAATCGACATTGTCAAAGGAAAAATTATGTAGTTTCAAAAATGTATGTTTAATCTTGACATGAAACATGAAATGATAATGTTGTTATAAATGCGAATTAATTAATTGAATTAAGAATACATGCACATATTCAATACATACTTCTTTTCCTACGTTTTTAAAATGAGATTCATTATTAACTCTTCCTAAATTATATGCCATCCGAACAGTATTATAATCTGGAAGGCCATGATCGCGGCCTCTTTGTATATTGAGTGCCATTAAGTCTCTTCTTGAAAATTCAAGTGGGCCAAATAAACTACCTCTTAAGTCCTCTACTATTTTATGATCTTCTTCTTCGCATAGTTGAATAGACATTCCCATTATTAATTTTTCTATATCAATAATACCTTCTATTTTTGTCATATTTTCAAAAATGGAATTCTGCACAAATATGTTACTGATTTAAAATAATATAAACAATTGATAAGTCATTATAATATATACCTCTGACATCCAATAGTTATTACATGTTCTAATTGCTCTAGAATTTTGCTTTATTTTACAACCATTTTTTCCGTAGTCTCTCAAATATACACCTATTAAAACAAATTGTTTAATATTAATATTTTTATAATTATATTTTATAGAAAAGTATATGTTTCTATTTTTTAAAAAAAATTGACATTCCATGAAATAAGAAATAACAACAAATAGTGAAGTAAGCTATGAAAACCTATTTGCGTATATTTTTATATATAATACTAATTGTAATATGTATAACATTTATTTCATAAAAAAATAAAAAATATATATATAGTTTTGAGAAGTACCTGGTGGCACCAAAGTGTGACCAAATCGGAAGGCTGCAGCTTGGAAGAATTGATCAATTTGTGGATCAATAGTTGGATTGTAACCTTTTAAAATTTATTAAAATTACACAAAACCAAAATAAAGGTCATTTTACTTAGAAAAACTATAAAAATATAATTTTATTAACAAATTACCAGTATACTTAGGAAGTTTTTTTCCCAACCATTCGGGTAACCATTCGTTTGTAACAATGTGTTGCTGTGTTGCTATTACCCATTTACGTGCTTCGTTGTAAATTTTTTCTCCAGACCAGTTAGGTTGTTTGTGCCTTATATAATTTGCTATATGATTGTGCCATCTAAACCAAATTATACCAAGTGAAAGAAGGAATGGATTTTCATTACCTCTTGGATTTCCTAATTCTATAACATATAAATGCATCATATTGATTTTAATAATTATATCTAATCTTGTAAAATGAATTGTTTACATCCCTTGAAAAATGCGATATTATCAAATATATTGTGTATTTTTCAAAGAAACCAATACAGATTTATAAAAAAAATGAGTGTAAGAGATGCATTAAACGCAGCTCTTGACGAAGAATTAGAGAGAGATGAAAAAGTATTTATTTTGGGAGAAGAAGTGGCACAATATGATGGTGCTTATAAAATAACAAAAGGTCTATGGAAGAAATATGGAGATAAAAGATTAATCGATACACCTATCACAGAAAGTGGATTTTGTGGTATTGCTATTGGAGCAGCACTTGCTGGTTTAAGACCGATATGTGAATTTATGACATTCAATTTTTCATTACAAGCTATAGACCGTATTATAAATGGAGCAGCTAAAAACTTATATATGAGTGCGGGAAAATTTAATGTGCCTATTGTATTTCGTGGGCCAAATGGTAATGCTAAAGGTTTAGCGGCACAACATTCTCAATGTTTTGGGGCATGGTACATGAGTTGTCCTGGTTTGAAAGTTATGTCACCTACAACTTCTGAAGATTATAGAGGATGTTTGAAAACTGCTGTTCGAGATCCTGATCCAGTTGTATTTTTAGAAAGTGAAGTACTTTATAACACTACATTTCCTGTATCGGATGAAGCTATGGACAAAGACTTTGTAATACCGATTGGTAAAGCTAAAATTGAGAAACTGGGTAAACATATTACATTAACTTCACATGGTCAGGGTACACTTTATACACTACGAGCAGCTGAAATTCTAGCAAAAGAGGGAATAGAAGCAGAAGTTATTAATTTACGTTCTCTGAGACCACTAGATTGGGAAACAATATTCAAATCAGTTTCAAAAACGCATAGACTAATGACAGTTGAGCTGGGATGGCCTACATGTGGAGTAGGTTCTGAGATAGTGGCTACTGTTATGGAAAATCCAGTATTTTTTCAACTTGATGCGCCAGCCATTCGCTGTACAGGTATCGATGTACCTATGCCGTATGCAGAAAATATTGAATATGAATGTATACCCAAAGACCATCATATTGCAGAGTTTGCTAAGAAAATTTGTGGTATAAGTATATAAATGTTATAATATTTTAAAAATAAATTTCCACTTACTAAAAAATCGTTCAACTTCTTCTGTATAATGTTGCATAATATATTCATGATGGTGAATCGGAGGTGGTGGATTGAACATAGGCAACTTATCAGTATTATATTCGGGATATAAATTCTCATGAGAAGCTGCTAATAATCCATTAGGATCAAAAGTGCCATTTGTGTAGGTTCTTAGAACGTTAGACCATGCTTTTGAAGTACCATAAATGAGTCCTCCATCCAAAAAGGGGGTTATTTCATTTAACTGCAATGTTTATATGTTATTTTAAAATTATGTATATATTTCGTTTAATATTAAGACAAATGTTGCATATTAAATTGAATTTCAAAACCTGTTGACGCGGATTATTAGGGTTGTGTCCAGTTCTCTTATCGTAACGTGTACGTAATACTGGCATTTCAGAATGTCCAAGTTTTGTTCTATAATGATGATTATTTGGAATTTTAATATTAAAGTATTCTGGTGGACATGCGGGTCTTTGTGCATCCAAAATTTCTTCCACAATATGTTGTCCTGTTGATGTTATAATATTGATTTATAGTAACAATTACTTATAGTTAAGATAATAAACAGTTTAATTAAAATTTCATTTACTCTTAATGATTTAATATTTCACAACATACCAAAAAATACAAGTAATACATTTTTTCCTGTTTTCGACTTAGAACCAATATCACCATTAAGTAGTTTCTCACTCAATTCTAATGGTTCTGGTCTATTATACCCTGAAGGTTTATATACACCGTCTTCATAAGCAGCAGGCCATCTTCTTAACAAAGGCGTATCAACAGCTCCTAATTCTGGATGTCCAATATTGTTATACCATCCATCATATCCAGCATATTCTATTACGTAAGTTTTAAAATTTGTTTTATTACACCCGTTATCTCCCCAGCAGCCGGTAAATAACCATTCTAATAATCTTCCTTTGTCATTATCAAAATCATCCTTCTCTGGTTTATTACCTTTAAGTCATTTATTCTCAAATAATTTATAAATTTATTAATATTTATTTAAACTAATACAGTATCAACTGTATAATAACAGATTATGTGGAATATTATATTATTATTAAAACACATACTTACAGTGTAAACATACAAAAGTAGTTGAATTTGTTGTTTTACTGTAGCTAAATATAATACAATAGAAAATAATAATTAAATTATATAAAATATGCATATTTTATCTTGATGATAATAATAAGTAATAACTATGAAAGCATTCGTTAACACACTGAAATTGAATTATCTGTTCTAGCTTTGCACTCGTACAAAATAAGAGTTGAGGAAAAGAAAAAACCAGCATATATATATACATATATAATATATTCATAATGTCTACATCTGCTGTATGATAAGAAACCACAGGAAGCCAAAAAGAATGAATCATGATTCTTATCAAATATATAACCAAGGATATACTTTAAAATAATATGAGTATTTTAAGAAAATCAATATTAAATTTATATTTAGTATGTACATAATACAATAACAATGTATGAACCACGAAAAAAGATTTTTTGGTTTGCATTAATTACTAGAATAATAGTTTTAAGTTTACAATTTATTTTTAATATTGCGTGTCCTGATCATTATGCAGATGCATTTAGAAGTCCTAGCGATAAATTTCAAAAAGTGTCATTATATGATAATATAATTACATTATTATTTAATGGTCTCACCCGATGGGATGGTGAATATTTTATACATATTGCCAAATATGGTTATACTTATGAAAATACTTTAGTATTTTATCCATTATATCCTATGCTAATTCGAGTTATAGCTGCTTTCATTAGAAAAGTATTCTTTTTATTAAATGTTAAGAGTTCCATAATTATTGCCAGCATATTTTTTAATAGCATATGTTTTATAAAATCTGCTGTTATATTTTATGACCTTAGTAAAGTAGTATTAAGAAAAACAAACGCAGCCTACAAAGCAGCAGTACTTTATTGCATAAATCCAGCTACTATATTTTTTTCAGCTATTTATTCAGAGTCGTTATTTGCTTATTTAACATATTATAGCATGTTAAGATCTATTAAACTGGATTTATATGTAGCCTTTCCAATAGGTTTATCTATTCTTACAAGATCAAATGGTATGGTTAATATTGGTTTTCCTGTATATTTTCAATTAAAAAGACTGTGTGATCGTTTTTTAACAGAGCATGAAAATTTTTCATTAAGAGCTTTAAGCCAATTTCTATTTAAAATAAGTACGTTAAGAAGTATTTGTTTAATGAGTAATACAATAATTATATCAATAGCTCCATTAGTCTTATTGCAAATATATAATTATATTATATTTTGTGTTCCTCATTCAGATAAAGTATTCATTCCTGACCATATTCTTAACCATAGTATGATAAATAACTTTAAATTACCAGGTAATAATAACATAGATTGGTGTAATGCTTCACTTCCAATAGCATATTCTTATGTACAAAAAAAGTATTGGAATGTAGGTTTTCTTAAATACTATACGATTAAACAAATACCAAATTTTATTTTAGCACTTCCAGTATTATATATCATGATTAAATGTATTAAAGAGTATTTTATTGAGCACAGACAATACTTTTGTACATTGGGTCTCATTGTAGGAGTTGATAAAACAGAATTTGCTAAAACAAAGAAATATCCTGCTGAAATATTAGTTTTTATCATTCATGGTTTGTTCATGACAGTATTTTGCATTTTTGTTGTGCACATTCAAGTAAGCACACGTTTACTATGTTCAGCAAGCCCTTTAGTCTATTGGTATTGTGCTTTAATTATGTGTCATACACCACATTATAATGATAATAGAGCTTACGAAAGTGTAGAAAATATGAACTCAAAATGGAAAGTATTTATCTTGACCCAAAATGAATATACTTTGAAGGATAAGCTAATATTAACCTACTTTCTGGGATATGTAATTATAGGATGTTTCATGTTTTCAAATTTTTTACCATGGACATAATTTACATACATCTATGCTCTGTATACATTACGTTACATAAACTTTAATAAATTTAATGTGATGTACATTATTTATATAAACACATGATTACATAAATAGTTAATATTTACAGAAATGTAAAATATATATTATAATATTTTATAACCATGAATACAATTTAATGTAAATTTTTATCGTGCATTAAATAATTATGTAGTAATACGTGTATGAATTTAAATTACTTAATATGTGACTTTTTATGTTTAAGTATTTCAATTGGTGTTAGATATAATGTCTTTGCACAATCTGAACATTCATATACTTGTGTATTGGGTTTGTGTGGTGTTTTTATATAACTTTCTTTTGTATCCGTTGTATGTTTTACACAAGATTCTTGATGTTGTAACTTCTCTATGCTAGTGAGAATAGCTTGCATATTACAGTTTTGACATTGCCACTCATTTTCTAACATTTCTGTATAAAGTTTGTAACTCCATTCTGTTTCTTTTAAACTAAAAAATAAAAGTTATAGTCATTGTATTTTACAAATACAGTAAATATAATATTCAATAACTTACCAGTTATATGTTATTATATTTGACACCTGAACACCTCCTTTAACTGGATTAGGAACTGCTATAAAATCAGATTGAAAAGGATTTGGATCTATAGGTATAATATTTTCTGAACTTCCTACATATATTATTTTAAGATCCGCTGGTAACAGTCGCTTTACTGTATATGGTATCGTTGTGTGCATGTATTCAATTAATTCTTGAGTAAGCGTATATTCAACTTCATTAAAATCTTGCATATCTTTATCACTAGTATTTAAATCTATAAAATGTTTATCTATAATATGTTACCTTAAAAATCATATTCAATTTTAACACTACTAGTTCATAAATGGATTTTATTTTGTACCTTGTAATTGTTGATTTAACAAAAGATCCCATTTATTTCGTAATTTAGTAGCTTTTATTAATAAAGTTTGGCCAGTATCGGGTACAGGAAATTCTAATGCTAACCATGAGTCACATACCATACTGTAAAATGGAAACGATATTTATATGTATAAACAAGTTTTGAAATTAATTATACTGTGTACTATATTTACTTACACTGAAAAAGTCCTGTTCGTGTGAATTTCGTTTGCAAATAAAAGTAATGTCTGTGCAGCAGGCATCCTAACTGTGTTCACCAAATAAGGCTTTGTCGTTTCCAAAAGAGATCTGTTAATTATAATTAAGTATATATCTAAATAACTGTAATAAAATAATTACTCATCATAATAATCATTTTTATTAAAAACTTACAGATACGCTAATATTGTATGTTTCGAACTAACAGGAGTTTTACTTTTAAATCCTGATATCGAAACAATATCAGTTTCTTCCAATTGTAATACTTGCGGATGATTTCCAAAGAAGCTCATTGGATGTAATGCTACATATGGTTTTGCTTTTGTATGAAATAATTGCTCAGTTGTTGACTGCAAAGTCATGTATTACTTTCAAAAAAATAATTGCTATTTTAAATAAGCAAAATGATGTTACCTTACAATAATTAAATTCATCTGCACACGCAAATTGCGGGTACAAACCACTGCATAATATTATTTTCAACATTGTTAAGTCTTTGTAACTACACGCAGTAGCTGCTGTCAATAAATCTTGAACTTGACTTGAATCATTTTTCATTCGAAACTCAACATCTTTTATATCAATTCCATCCTCATCGTGAGCGCTATCTTCTGAGTATATATTAAATGTTTCTAGCTTTAGTTGTTTCCGCTTTCTAGGCGCCTTTTGTTTGTAAGTTCTTTTTAATGACTTCAAAAGCTTCAATTCTCCGTATCTTATAGCACGTTCTGCACTAGACATAGAAGAATTTAGTTCAGGAAGATTTTTCAGTAAATTACAATCCTGTAATAAATTAACTTAATATAATAAACCTTTTGATAAACTATAACAAATGTAATAAATTTACGCTAATAAGGTATCAATAACCTGAAGTAATTCTTTAAATTGCGTCCTCAATTTTATCATTTCATAAAATCTTTGTTCTTCTAGACCTCTTCTTTTACACCATTTTTTACTATTACTTCCACTACCCATTGATTCTTGAGAGCTTTGTTGTTTTACTTCTAACCACTCTCTGAATGCATTTAATAGGGTTATTGGATCACCATGATCAGATTCCAATGTTTTCCTAGATGTCTTTAACATTTTTAATCACTGCATAAAATCAGATTGTTTAAAATTGAAATGTATACATTACATTCCGTTACCTCACACTCTGAGTCTCTATATGCTCTGTTTGTAAATGGTGTTTGTATGCTTAATGCTGCAGCTAATGATAATACTGGTTCTACTTGATGGAAAATTGAGCCCATTATTAACATTTTTCCTATTGTTATGTCAACAGGTAAACGAGCAAGTGTTTTTCCAATGCATGTTATTTTTTCATCATCTGTGAGAGCACCCTAAAATAAAAAACCTACAATGTAATTATCATTTATCTTACCATTGGATAGAAATGTAACCAATATATACTAACATGCTCTTTCAATGATAATATAGAATTTTCTATACTTTCAGCAGGAGGTGGTTCTATGAACGGAAATTTTCTTGTGTCTGGAAGTCCCATTGCTATCATTTGTAAAAGTAATGAATCTAAGGGCACACGTTGTAATTCTGGTGTTGAGTATTTTTCCAAAGCTGTGTATTCTTCTTCCGAGTATAATCTGTATGAAAATATTTATTGTTGTTTTAAATTATTTATACTAAATTATGAAAACATTGTAAGTTATGCATTTATAAAAAATATATATATATATATATATACACCTATATATACAATACATATATATACCTATAACACACACCAGGTCCTGTCCTACCAGCTCTTCCTTTTCTTTGCTCTGCACTGGCTTTGCTAATCCAAAATTCCTTGAGTCGTTGCATTTTGCACGATGGATCATAATTCATTTCTTTTACCTTTCCACTATCAGCAACAAATCTGATTCCATCTATGGTAATCGAGGTTTCTGCGATATTAGTAGATACAATACATTTTCTTGCATTATCAGGAGGATAATCAAATACCTTCAAGAAGAAATTGTATTTAGATAATATTATACTTTTAATAAACATATTATTTAAAATGTAAAAAATGATTACGAAATTTTACTTTGTCTTGTTCATTAATAGATAGACTGCTATGAAGTGGTAAAACAATCCAATTGTTTTTTTTCTGACTATACTCTTTTGCAGCATCTACAACTGCAACAATTTCACTCATCCCGCTTAGAAATATTAGTAAATCACCCTTTTCGTTCACTAAAAATACATATTATTAATATAACACACCCAGAAATGAAATTTCATATATAATATATCTTCTACCTGAATATTTTTGGTCAATTAATTGCATTATTTGTATATAAGGACTTGGATTGAATCTATCATTTTTATACCGAACATCTTCAATGCTAACAGGTCTATATATTAACTGTATTGGATACAGTCTTCCAGGAACCTATGTATTATAATTCATTATTGAAATTATTTATGTTTTTAAATATTGTTGAAAAGTAATTTTTCATTAAAACATACTTGTATTATTTTAACATCTTCTTTTGCAAAGTAATTACCGAAGAGTTCAATATTAATTGTGGCAGACATAAGCACTAATTTTATATCGTGCTTCTGATTAATAATACATTTCATAATACCAAGGAGAAAATCTCCATGTAAATGGCGTTCATGTACTTCATCCAATACAATCACATCATAAGGTAATGATTCAGATTCACTGGATAACTACATAGAAGATATATCAGTACTTATATTTTTAATATAATATTCAATGTTAAATTATTGTTTACTAAAATCTTATTTTTACCTGCCTCAGGAGAAGACCTTCTGTTATAAACGTAATTCTAGTATCTTGACTTCTTTGTTTTTCAAAACGAATTTGATAACCGACATGATTATAATTTTCTGTTAATGTTTCAAAAGCAACACGTTTAGCTAAAGATATACACGCTATTCTTCTGGGTTGAGTACATGCTACAAACAGTTAATCATCAATTAAATTAATTAATATTTATACAGAATAACAAAACATTTACAATTTTACATATAATTCTGCCTACCAATTTTTTGATAATTAGCCGCATATAAATACTGAGGCACTTGCGTAGATTTCCCACAGCCAGTATCACCAGCTATAATGACTACTCGCTCATTTTTTACTGCTTGAATAATCTCATTTTTGTATTGACTAACTGGTAAGTTTGCTTGAGATTCTCTAAGCTTTTTTAGTTTTGCAAATTTTTCTTTTTGTTTAAAATCCAAATATAAAACAAGTATACTTTGAAATTTCAATAATCTTTCTTTTGTCAAGATTTCAATAAGTGGAATCCTTGAAAATAATTCATTGAAACTAAAGCTTAATTTAAAATTTATACAATGTAATTTATGATATACTTCTGGTACACCAATTTTGTTTAGAGTAAAATTAGGAGATATATCTGAAGTATTAAGTTTCTTTTGCACAGCTTCGTATTTATTAACAAATTTCCAAAAATCTTCAGTATCTTGTATTAGGTTTAAATTTCTTGAAAATATTTTATTGAATTCATATTTATATTTAGTGAAACAAAAATTTTCATAATTTTTTTCATATTTACTGCATACTTCTTGAGAAGAATACTTTTCTCTAAAATCCATATTTTTTTACCAAAATATAGTTTGGATGATATTATTGATTCCTTCTTATATTCTTTTTACGGTATCGGCATTTATATTAAAATTTCTTATATGAGGTCTATGAATTCATTTGAATTAAAGAAAACGTTTCGTAATTCTTTTGTATTGTAACCTTAAAATTGTTTAGTTTGAATACTTATTTTTTTACAATACAACATGGGTATTACCACAGACAAGGTATAGAATAAACATAAGCAATATAAAATTTTGTCACACGTTCTCAGGAGCCTAGGAACCCTTTACCATTTTTGTATCACGCCCTGTCATATCGACTTCGATTGGTTTTGCATGGCAGCACTATAAGTAATAAGAATTAGAATCAAAAATATTAGACGCAGACTTAAAATACGTATCTTAGAAATTTGAAGACATGGCACCATTGTAATAGATATGTTCGTATGCTGCTTTACCATATTTATTACTTGGTTAACTTCAATCATTTTGCTTGATGTAGTTTTCCTATTGGCTGCCCTCTAGACGTACAAGGCGGGCAAAATCCTGATTTTTTTACACAGTCGATAACTCGGAACATATGACTCCGAGTCCCATAAGGTTGCGATGTCTATCCTATACCTCGTCTGTGGTATTACTATTTATTTCTTATATTTTTTATTATTCATTTGTCTTTTCTACGTACGCACAAAAATAAACAAAATAATTGTCCGTCTTGTTTCGATATTTCAACAAGCTCTACACATACAATTTCGGTATGTTCCAATCCAAATAGATATGAAATATGGTATCGATATTTTTACTCGTTACTTGTATCGAAAGAAAACATCGATATCTACTCAGTATCGAAATGAGAGTATGCACACTTATTTGTTTTGATATTGAATAGGTATCGCAATTAAAAGTATCGATCCCTTACATGTATTTATTTAGACAGGATCATACTTTACTTGTTGGTAAATACTAATTGCGTGAAGTGTATTTCATACGTATTTTGATTTATTTTCGTGATAGTTTAAATGTTAACAATAAAGAAGATTTAAGTAATTATTTAATTTTATACTTAACTTAAACTTAAATGTAAATTACTATATAAATATCTATTTGTCATATTGTAGAATTGATAACACAACCCTTCTTCAATCATCGAAAAATGTACACAATCTTTAAGGTTATGTCTCCTCCAAATGTCATCACATTTCGTAAATTATTTAAAATAAATCATGATATTATGATGTATTTAAACAGTTCTCTTCATACACGTGTGTATTTAAAATATAAACTATGATATTAGTGTGTCAAATATTACTGTTATCATTGTTTCAGAAATTCAAATATTATTTACGAAGAAAGATGATGCTGAGAGTCCTAGAATGCGCGAATTTAGAAAAAAGTTACGAGAACGTACACCTATAGGTACAATATTATTCAATAAAGAATATATATTAGAAATTTATAAAATTATTGTTAATAAAATAACAATTTGATAAATGACAGAAAAACTGCCAGAATTAGAGGAAGGGACACATCCTTATCAAGAAAAAGAACCATTAAAACCTTTTCCAAATAATACCAATCCTGAAACAGGTGAAGTTGGAGGACCACGAGGACCAGAACCTACTCGTTACGGTGATTGGGAAAGGAAAGGGCGAGTTACGGATTTTTAAATAATGATCTGTTCCATAAAGAAATATGTAATAAAATAGTTTAATGTACAGTGTATATCATGCACATAAAAATATATATGCTTCGTATTTGTAAAGTATTATTGTTATAATATAGAAAGCAATGTATATACATTATAAAAAAGTAAAAGCTAATGTATATAGAGAATTATGAAAAAAGATTTTGTTGCTATGCATTATCCACTTTTTTAAAATGATTTCTTACCTGTAAATTTTATTTCTAATACTGTAAGTACAATAATATTAAAACCGTATTAACATTACGATAATTTGTTGAAACAAACATTATAAAACATTTCCATTGTGTTTTGTTAAAAATTAACAAAAGCAATAAGACCGTTTAAGCATTCAATTTTCTTCCCAATCATACACAGCTAAAAGATGTGTAATTTGGGATCGGTCTTGATTTGCGCAAGCATGAATACCTTTAATTCTATAAATAAAATTTTCATGAAATCATTAATATATAAACCTAGGCAATTAGTAACAAGTATGAGATTTGTACATTTACAATATAAAAAATAATTTTAATTCTATTTCTAGTCCATTTTATAATTTATATAGGTGCATTATTACAAACCAAAGAAATAGAAGTAAAAGTTGAAAATGAACATTCTTTGAGAATGAAACAGTTTCATAAAAAACTGAAACTGCAACCTATACCAAGTAAGTTAAATGCTTCATATTTAAAACAATAATAAAAAATATAAATCAGAGATTGAAAAGATTCCAAAAATAACTATTTGAAACCGTTATATATCAGTTCCGACTGAAGCAGTTATGAAGAATTGAAATAAGTCATAACTATTATTCGGTATATCGGTTCCGGTTCCGGTTCTATAACTGTTATTTATGGGTTTTTCATAACTATTTCAAGAGTAGAAACCGATATAAAAATTGTTTTCAATCCCTGATATAAATACTGTATAAAAAATATAATTTTAGGGGTGCCTCCAAAAGAACGTTTTGTAGATTTGTTATTAGTAGAAACCGATCCAAATAATGGAGAATTAATAACAAACGGTGAAAAAGATCCAACGAAATGGGGAGACTGGCAACATGGTGGACGGGTGAGCGACTTTTGAATAAAAAATCATAACTTTCATTTAAAGATTTGAACGTATATCCAAAATAGAAGGAAACAAGAATCTGAATTCGTTTTAATCTACAAAATCAATTAATGCTGATTATAAATCTTATATCTTTCTCATCTCTATAAACTTTTGAAAAATTTTATTCCAACATAATGGAGTAACACTTACAAAATAATAACTGTACATATTCTTAATAATGAGAATAAAAATGTTAATACTGACAAAAAACTGATGTCCATATGAACATGAATTTGATATAAAATTGGGAAAATTTTTCTAGCAAACAATATTTAAATTTACATAAACAAATACTTGTTTAACTGTTCATCAATGAACCTGATAAATGTAATACAAGTAATTCTCTATATAAACAAAAATATCATTCATCCAGAAATTTGATATAATGTATCATATATTTGTACCTAACAATCATATCAAACGCAATAAACTAAATTTCTAATCTAATACACATATGCACAAAATCCACATTCAAAGGTACATTCAATTAATTCTTACATGTTGCCTGATGTTTTGTAAAAAGCGAAAAAATAAATAAATGTTTTTTTTAATTGCACAAAAATTAATTAAATCTATACATAAATCCGTAAATAAATGCAATAATTTAATTGATTCCATTACTTAAATAATGAATTTATTCCCGTACAAACATGTTATTAAGTTATCCCTATTAATTTACCATACTTTCGATAGTAAACATTACATCTCAAATTGCCATGTGTCAAAAGGTATTCCAACATAATTTTACACTGTAAAAAGTTATTTTCATATCTTTTTATGTACAATTTAGTAGTACTGTTGATTAAAAATATTTAAAACAGCGTGATAAAGAAATTTTTCAATACTGATTATCAATTTCTTTGTTCCTATGTAAAAGTTCTATAAAAAAGTAAATAAAAATATTATTACATTAAAAATGTTGCATGACATGGAATTAATATTCACAATCTTGTTGTCTAATTAAGATTATTTTTCTAAAGTGAATCGTTTTATATTTACATTACAGATCTATATTATAGTATGAATACAGGAATTATCAAATCACACTTTTATAATACGCAATACACAAAATACAAAATTTTGTTATGAAAAGTTGAAATTAAAAATAGCGAAGTATGTACAAAATGGCGGTTCTTAATTTTAATGTTTCCGTTCTACTCCTAACAGATCCATAGTCAATATATTGAGATTAATGCTCATAGCATTTTCACTTGGTGAAACTTGTGTAACTTATAAGAAATAATAATGTCCTCGTTAAACTCAATATTTTTTTGAAAATGTTTCGTAGATCTGAACATTTTGTTAATCTTAAATTAACTTCCCTAGTTTTTCTTTTATTACAACTGAAAAATGACTAAGAGAATGCGCTACGTTTAAGTTAAATTTGAAAATGCTAATGCGAATTATAAAATAAATGAAAAATAATCTAAAAATATAAATATACTGAAATTGAAATAATAATCTTCAGTCTTTCATCTAGCATCGACGGACCTGAAAATTGTAGTTTAAGGTAGCATCGAATATTAAAGATTATAGATCTTAACGAGTTATAAACTATAAAGTTTTATTGATGGCTAACACATCTCGCATCATCATGTTCCTTAGTGTCCATAAAGCGTTTACCACATTCCCATGGTTGCCTACACCGTTGCCCAGCCATTCGGCTGGTAATTTTGTTACATCAGGAATTTGTGTATTTTCTGGATTAGCATTCATCTGTTTATCCCAATTTGATATGTACCGATTTTCTACGTTTAATGCTTCGATATACCTATAAATCGATTATAAATAAAATAATTTACAAAATGGTTATTAGTAATGATAAGTGTAATTTATACATATTAGGAGTACCCATAAGTCGTCAATCTTTTTTAGATGGCTGAGTTAATTTAAGCTGACTTAAATATATTTATTAACGAGGATAGGTTTTCTGATATATGAATAATAAAGATAAATAATCAAAAAAATTATCCTCGCTAATAAATATATTTAAGTCAGCTTAAATTAACTCAGCTATCTAAAAAAAATTGACGACTTATGGGTACTTCTAACATATTAATATTAATGGCTCACCGTAAATAGGCGTCTGAATGTAATACACGACTTGGCCTTGGAGGAACAGCAACAAACATTGGTTCTGGTTGTTTAGCTGCAGGTATATTGCTCGTTTGCGTTGCAGCTGCCGATGTTTCTACAAATAATTTTAGATGTAATAACACATACATTGCTACATTCGCTACAAATATATTAGTGTACGATTACTACAAATCAATTACCAGTTTCCATTGGCGGTAATATCGTTGGACCTTTCGATGCCATATAATTTCTATAATAGAAAGATGAAATTTAAAATGTACATGTGTAATTCCAGAAGTACAACTTGATAATTTTCAACACGTACTTGCTTCTTTCCGAAGGAGGTATTATACGTCCATTTGACTTAAGGATATGTACTTCCTTAACGTGCCTCGCGAGTCTTTGCACACTTGGAAATGGAGGTACAGATTTTTTCGTACGGCCACAGCCACGCCATTGACATTGAAATTCTACATCTACAAGGAAAGTAAAATTAGAGTTTTAAAATTTCATTCAGCATTAATAGTACTGAAATAACATACCACTAGCAGCGTTAACGAAAGACGATTGTACATGTCCGTTTTGTTCAGCAATACAATGGTCGATACAATCAGTCATATCTTCAAATTGCCAGTCACAGTTATCCCAACAGCATTCGTATACAACATCTTGCAAGGAATTAGTGCCTACTGAAACACTAGTGCCTACTTTAAGTTGTCCACCATCTTCGTTCATTTTAATTGCTCTTTCTTCCCATGCTTGTTTCTCTCCAGCTGGTAACTTCCTCCACTGGAATAAAGAAGATTTATATTTACATCATTCTTTGTGTAACATTTTGAGACTCTGTAAAAAACCCATTTGTTCAAACCTTTTCCATAGTAAAAAACCGTTTTCTATCGTGGATACCATTCATAAAAATCAATTTTTCATAAACAATGAAGTATTAATAATAAATGATTAATATATACTTTATTGTTTCTTTCAATGTACACCTGACCCTCGATTTACGCGGTAAATTAAAATACTATTCACGCGGTAGTTTTTACGGGCGGTCTTAATTTACGCAATCTGAATTAGTAACACCGAATAAAATATACTTTTGTTTTCTGAAATGTCATTGTTATTATTCCTTTTGATTACGTGTGTTAAACAAATATGTATTTTTAAAACTTATACCAGCTTTTCTTTCCAATATTCTGTTTTTTTTGTACTAACAGATTCTATTTACGTGATTTTCAAAAGAGTTTGCCCGGAACAGATTTTCGCGTAAATCGAAGGTCAGATTTGCAGTAATTTTAATAAAAAAAATGTTGAGATGCAGATGCGTGAATGGTAACCTTAGGAACAACTAAATATACTTGAAAGAAAGACAAAGCATGCAGAATCTTTTTTCCTGGGAGATACATTCTAAACAGAGTTTCGTAAGTTCCCATGACATTATAATTAAAAAAATGTAATCTGCATACTGTCCTCCTTCAATAGATTCTTACCATAAACTAAAAATCAACACTAAAAAATAAATAAATACCTCGTTGCCAACAATTCTGCTAATCTCCCCAAAGGATGATTCGGGATTGTTTTGTGTAATCTGCGTTCGCATTTTACTCGAATACAAAATATAGCCCGTAACTAATTTCTTACCCGCCGTTTTCTAAACAGAAGAAAACACAAATTATAATGTCACTGTCTTATGAACGAGTCTTGACATTTACACCTTTGTAAGGTAAGATATTCAATTTTTTGTTCTAATGTTAGATAATGAACGGTGTAAAAATTTCAAAAAGAAAACAGTAGTATGCTGGCATATTTCTCTAAACAAAATAAAAAATGAAATAAATATAATGTAACATGTAAATGAATGGTAAACAAATAATGTCACGATAAGGCCTACCTTCTTAGTCGACACAGGTGTTTGTGTATTGGAGAGCACCGGTTGAGCTTCTGCGGATCCAACGGACGGTGGACCACCAGCGTCCATGCTGTCCTCCCCAACTCCTACTCCTACTCCCACTCCCACGCCTAATCCTACTCCCATGCCTAGTACATCGGGTTCCAGCTTCGGTAACAATGGTGATGCTTCCTATACCATTTATGTTATGTTACGTTCATTATCCGTTACCGAGTGTAAGATCATGAAAAGCTTTGGAATATTTTTCGGTCGTTATAACAATTCTATATGAATGCTAATAGCTATGTAAAATGATCTCTGATTAGATATACTGCAGGATGCAGTGTCTATAAATTTCACATTAATCCTGATAAATTTAATTTTAGTACGAAGCATTGTACACTTTGCTCTTTTTTTATATTTTCCTCTGATACTTTAAATGTATTTCAAATGCCTAAATTAGGTACTAACACCTTGCGTATTCTGTTCAAAGCACATTGCTTCAGTTTCATATTATTTGAGTTAGAGTGACATGGAAGCGAGACTATTTGGTGGTACTCTATGTATATCAAATATACATGTCGTATATACATATATACATATACACACACTCACACATACACAAGAAATGTACATACATATATATGTATAATATATAGTAATTATATATATTATGTATATACATATGTACACACGCGCGCGTGCGAGTATGTGTCTGTATGTGCATATATAGATATATATAGATAAACCCAACAGGTGCTCTGAATTTAAATCGATGATAAACAATTTGTATGGAAATATGTTCTATGTAAACTATATTATTATAT